GGAAGTAATCTCTTTATCATTAAAAAAGTGAATTAGAAGAAGCTGATGGGGCAAAAGCCTATGGTTTGAATTCAGAAGAAATTATAGCAGTGCAGGGTGCACAAAGTGTTCTGCTGGGGCCGCTGGGAGGGACTTGATTGCACGGCTGTGATGGGATTGTTGAAGGAGAGCGTGGGAGCAGGCGGAGCTGGGGGCACAGCCCGGCACAAGGGCAGGGGAAGGGCCGCGGGGAGCGGGCTGCCAAACCCGTGTCAATGGCCCCTGGCAGCTGGGGAGCTGTCCCCACAGGTGGCACTGAGGTGACCTGTTTCTGGCCACCAGGCTACCCCAGGGGCCGCTTGCTCTCCTGCCCCATCTTTGGCTCCTCATCTTCTCTCTCCTCCTCCCGGAGCCGCGCTGGGCGGAGCCCAGGTGAGCTCATCTCCGGCACAGCGTGAGCCGCCACCGAGAGTTCAGTGTTTTAATTGGGCACAGCGGGAGGGCAGCGAAGAGGATTTGCATCCGTGAGTGTCTCGGGCAAGGTCACAGCACTGCTCGGACTTGGCCTCGAGCGCGGCGGGGCCGGTGGCGAAGCAGAGCTCGGTCCGTGCCTGTGCGGGGCTGGTGCGGCGCCCGGCCCGCCTGCAGGGCAACGCCATCCGCTCTTCTCCGCTTGCAGAGACAATTTAAGCCTCTGAACCATCGTGTAGTGGTCATGTACAGCCTGTGGCAAATCAGAATCCCTTTGGGAGTTAAGTTTGTTTAAAAGCCCCAGTGCTAATTGTGTCTCAGCTCACGTTCAGTTGCCATTTGAATGCCTGCTGATCTCCGTTAGTGAGAAAAAAATATTGCAGTGCTACTTTGAAATTATGTGGTGCCACTCTGATGGTCTAATGTGTCTGGAAAAGCAGAAGTGAAGCAGATGATCACAGTTGCTGTTCTCTGCACAGAGAATCAAATGTTGATTCCCTGCGTGGGCTTCAGCCAGGGCACTTCCACTCCGTGTGAACACAACTGCATGGCCAGTGCTTTAGACCCACATGGGCAAAAACCCTGGAGCCAGTGATAGCATAAGGGATCTCATGTTATTCAATGATAATTTGATACAGACTTTGTTCATTAATATAATTTTGTGAGGTGCCTCAGAATGGACTACTGGGTACTTTCACGCATCTATAATGTTAATCTGCTGCCCCTGCATGTATTATAAATGTTATCCTACCACTTGAAATGGAGATAAGCGGGATGTTACAGTTAAATATCCCAAATAGTAGCAGCACAAAATATTTTGCTGGTTCTTATCAGTTATTTAGTCTCAGTAGAAGAGAATGTACATTTTTGGTTTTTTTGTTACAGCAAGGCACAAGCTTTGTGTCTCAAGTTTTTCCTCATTGAATGCTATTGGTTCAGCATTGTAATATTAGACCTCTTATGGATATAGATACTATTTTGAGGAGATAATTTTTGGACTCTAGTTTAAGCTTTTGCTCTTTGCCTTGAGAAATATCTCATTCTTTCTGCAAAATGTTTACATAAAACAGACACAGTCTGTCCCACATTAACAGATACAGTCTGTCCCATAACTTTAGATAAAGCACATCCAGGCTTCCCTGTTGCCTCTTGCTCCAGCAAATATGCTTTTTGAATTGATGCCTACCCTTTCTTTCAGGCTCTATGAAATACAGCTTGAGGAACCTACCTCTGTTTCCACTGATTTGAATCTACCTTGTCAGCTTTTTCTGAGATCCCTAAAGATAGTAAATGGGAATGTGACATTTTGCTGTTGTAGGTCAGCTGCTGACAAATATAAACAAATAAAAATATAAACACTGGGGGCTGAAACTTTGGTCTGCTCTATGAATATTGATTTATGAAGAATCTGACATGGGAGTTAAATTAGTATCTTTAATTATAAGGAAATGGGAATCTTTTTTGTGCCTATTCTTGTTTTTTTTCTTTCTGTTTTTTTTTTTTGTGGGTTTTTTTTGGTTTTTTTTTGTTTTTTTTTAGTAGGCAATTCTTTGAGTTGTGTATATTTTTTATCCATACTGATTATCACAGTGGTTTACCACCACATTTGCATCAATATGTTGCATAATCCCCAATTATCATTTTGGTTTTCTGAGTTGCTATTCTCTGAGAAACTTTTATTGTTTTTCTTGGCTTAACTGCGGACTGTCTCCACCCTCTTTCCTTCTGCAAGTGATCAAATTCTGTAAAGAATTCTCTGCTTTGGATAGACTATTGCTTCCCACCCATGCTGTTCTCACTGAGGTTGGAAATGTTATTAATTTTATTTAGTGTAGGGAAAAGCTTGGCTAACCCTTCAAAACAATCTTTCAAGTCCTGTAATTCAATTAAGTCCTTATTTACAATGGCCATAGCTATTTTTCTCAGTGCTGTCCAAACTGAGTTCTCTCTGGTTACAAGAGAAAGAAGCATTGTTTTCCATTCTGACAGCAAAATGGTTCAATTTTATTTTTTAGTTCAGGAAAAGTGCAGCATAACCTTGTTTAAAAGGTTTTCTAGCAAAAGAAGCAGCTGTTACTCTCCACATTATGCTTTTCTTAATGGGTTTTGCGCCAGGGACTGAGGGAGGAAGGCTGGCAGTTATATATGACCTGGTGAGTGTAAAATTGTTATTCTGAGACTTGGATTTTCCAATTTTTCCAGTGCTAATCATTGCTTTTTCTTACACGCCAGCACACAAGCACTGTATTTCAGTTCTCTCTGTTAATTTAACTGTGTGGTTTATTTTTTTCTTTGGACTCAAAATTATCTAAGTTCAAGATAATATTTTATTATATTGTGGATAAAACCCCTTCCCAATAACTGCCATTTCAGATGTACACAGTGGCTCTGACCAAGTCTGGTTTTACTGAGGTCTCAGCCTAAGCTGGGCAGATATGAACAATGATTTTCTTGCACAAACACACAAAGTGTAAGTGGTGGCAGCATGGAAGTTGTAAATGAAACCTTTGGAAAGCTGTACAGCACTGAGGCATTGGCTTCCTTCCCTTAGGACCCACCAAAGAGCAGCTAGGAAGGAGGGAAGAAACTCTAGATTTGAAAAGAAATGTCAGCTGGGGTGACCTGTAACTTAGTGTCCTTGACAGCTTCAATTGTGTTGGATATCACTTGACTGTACCAGCACTGCAATTGTATGTTACTTATCCCTTCCTTCCACCCATATAAAAGAAAAAAATCAAAGCTGAAAGATAGTTTTTCCTTCCTGTGGTAATTGTGGTGTGTTTTAAAGCACTGTGAACAGGTTTGGAAGTGGCAAGGGCTTTGAAAGAGTGTTTGACATGGGCTGAGTTCTGCAACAGAAATTCCCAAAGATCCTTTTTCTATAACTGGCTGCTTGTTTGGGAGTGTTACAGGGCTAGCAATTCAGTGCTTCGTGTACTTCTGTCATGCAACAGCTTGGTGAATTTTTTTCTAGTTTCTTGACAAAATGGTCCCAGCAGTCCTTTTACCCATGCAGCGTGGTACAGGTGTCAATCACAGATCAGAGCCTTGTTTGTGAGGAACTGAATTCATGCCAACACTTGAGCGCATCGGTCTGGACCCCCAGATACCCAAGAGCCAAAGGAATTGCAAAGGAAGGGAAAGGCAAAGGAATTGCAAAGGAAAAGTGTTTTCACTGCTATAAAGATCCATTTCCTGCCCACCACTGCAGTTCAGCTGTGTTGTGAACAGAGTAACTCCCCTTGCCTTCCCCCTGTGCTTCAAGGCACCAGTGAAGTTGGCCTGAATGTAACTTGGCTGCAAGTGCTGGCAGCAGCTGAATGCATTTTTTCCTCATCTTCCCTGGAAGCAGCGTGCTGCTGGGCTGTGGCCACTTGTAGCACATGGCACCACCACAACCTGCACATCCACCACCTGGAAAAGAAGGAATAAAAGGGGTCTGTGTGTGAGAAACTGGAAAAAATGGTGAATTGGGAGCTTCGTCAGTACTGATGAAGTCAAGAGAACATGGGCCTGCCTGCCACACCAGTGTAGGGAAGGCTGCACCAGCATAGCTCAGACTTTCCGGAGATCCCAGAAGACTATTTGAGCATTTATTCTGAGTCTCCCATATACATCTGATTATAGTATTTCTCATCCTGTAGGGAGAGTTAGGTCACAGCTTGGGTTAGATTTCATGACATGCCTGTTCTCTGTCTTGGAGATGAAGATCTGGTATGCTCTCAGTAGAAAGCAGAGGGTACTGAGGGCCCACTCATACCTGGAAATAGATACCTGGTTCGTCTCCAGGCAGTCTGGAGCCTGCACTCCATCAGGAATATATTTGAGAGGAGAGATACCACAAAAGGACCTCTGCTCCATCCCTGCTGCACAGCCATTCTGTATCTGGAACTGTGACTCTGCCCTAGTGCTCTCTCAGGGCAAAGAAAGACAGATTTAGATGGAGTTTATATATACATAATATATACACACATGTATATTTCTTTATAGATATATAAACATATATATTAATAGATATAACAGATATCTGTATAGATATAGCTAACTGTTCCTACAGTCCTTCCCCTAGATGGTGTTTTCTGTTCTTTATGATCTAGATACCTGTATTTTTCTGCTGTAGGGACTTGTGCCAAGAGAAGACCCACACAAACTGAGCTGTCTCCTCTGTGCCTCAGTCATGAGGAGCCATGTCCCTTGGTGCTGCCTTAAAGGATCCCTGCAGAGACTCAACCACCCCAAACCTGGCATCCCTTTCCTGCTGCTCAGTCATGGGCCCTGCAGCTGGTGGGGATCATGCTCCACAGCTAAGCAGTAAGTAACTAAAGCTTCAAGTGTCCTGCTAACAGAGTGTCAGCCAAGCATAATCCAGGCCCTGACTCAAATTGACAAGGACAGGTTGGGCTCTGAAATAATCTCTTTAAATAGCAGCAGCCATCTCTCTGAAAGGCACTTCCCCCCCAGCCAGCCCTGAGAGCTGCTTACAGCACATTGCCTGCTATTTCCCACCCAGGCAGTGCAGGGCTGACACTTCTGACAGGAAAGTGTGTTCTCTGCCAGCAGTCTCCCAGCTTTGCTTTGCACCAGGAGTTACAATGAATTTTGCAGCACAGTTTATCTACTTCAAAGTCTTAAAAAACAGAAGTCCCAGGGACCGCTACAGGGAAGATGAAGACTACGATCCTTTCTGGCAAAGGTTGGAGAATATTGCTGTCTGACTTAGAGCTAGAGTGCTCCTTTATGCCCCTCAGGGGTCATGGTCAGCCCTCGGGGTGCCCCCAGGGCCAGGCCCACGGACATGACAACCCCTGGATCCCTCCTGCCTCCTTATGGTGTCGTAGTTGGAGTTTTGCTTCGCCTCGTTGTTTATTTAGTCGCTGTGCTGTATAGGTAATGCTTTCTTTTTCCTTTCCTTAATTTCCTTAAAAAAATCAAACCAAACCAAAAATCTGGGACATTGAAATTTTCCATAATCTCCCAGGGTTCTGTGGATATGGGTTGCTCTTGGAGTTATCCACTGGAAATGGTGGAGATTTTAATATTTTCAGCCCACTGAGTTCAGCTTTTGTATTTCTTCATGAGTATGGTATCAGAAATAACTCTGGACAGGCCAGTGGACTGCTGAAAATTTATCTTGGGATAGCCCATGTCAGATCCTGTTATTACAGTTCTGTGGTTGCCTTTGTTATGGTGCTTATGGTGATCTTAAATTCCTGTTTTCAGACTTGGATGGTGCAGATGGAATTTAAGAGTCATCTAGTGTCCTTGTGTAGCATGAGCTGAGGCTGTGCACACACATGGCATGGTGGTGTTGTGCAACCTCATTCTTAACCTTTTCCATAGTTTGTTTTTCCCTCCATTTTATTATCTGGACACCACTACTGAGATCACGCTCTGTTTTTCCAGACGTAGTACAAACAAGGAACAATACTCATTTCCTGCATCTCCTTGTCACAGATGTTGCTAACATTTAAGATATAAATTGTTTCAGTGGGCCTGATGCTGTTAATAAAGGGGAAGGCAAGGTCTTCTGCACTGTAAAAAGGGCTTGCCCAAAGTCACCCATGATATGACCTGTTCTGCAGTGCACTGTGGGTCTCCTTTCAGCACAGGACCACTCTTTGCTCTATTTTGAGTTATGCTATTCATTCCTAATTGGAAGTGAATTATGGAGGTGTGTTAGTCACCACAAAACCTCTAGACTCAGAATACATTCAGCTTAGGAAAAAGTTTAATTGCTTAATGAGTTTTAGGTGCCAAACTCTGTGCAGTGTTGGATACCTATCATTTGACATTCACAGCTGTCAATGTCTTATAAGAACTTTTGAGAGGGATGGGTCTGTTTGAGGGACAGTTGGTTACCTCTGCTGTAACATTTCCATTATGGGTGGTCTTGTGAATTCTTCTTGCTTACAGAATGCTTTTCCTAGTGTTTTCTATTTAGCAGCTGACAGCCAGTTGCCATTGCCAGCAGTAAGCAATGACACGTGCACGGTGTGTGCAGAAGAATGGCAATAGATTATGACTACAGATGAAGGCATATATAGTGCCAGGCTCAGGTTCTGGTAAATCTGACTTGCTAAAAGTAAGGGGAGATTTTATCAGAGGTGATAATACAGCTTGGTTGTTTGCAGCATGAGCTTGAGCTTTCTTTGTGTGTGTTGCTGGTGCAGCATCAGACAGGTTTGTTAGACCTCTATATGGTGAGTAGAGTTCTAAAGGCCTGCTCAGTCTCAAGGCTTGGTTATTGTGTGGCTGTCTCTGCTGGATGGTCACAGTGCTTACTTTTGTCACCCAGCATGGTTACTATGCCCCGACCTCCTTGTCTTTAAGACACTCTGATAAATAGCCCTGCGGAAGTCTTAGGAAGTCACTGGATCTGTCTGTGTCCCAGTTTCCATCAATAAAGTTGAGCTAATGTTTGCTGAACTTGTCCTTCTGTTTAGGGGAAGGTGACTCCTATGTGATTTAGGAACAATCACTTTGCATAGGCTTTAGATATATAAAGGTCAGATATTAAATTTATATTTCCATCCTGTGTGTGCCACTAGTTGGAGTGATGCAGTCTCAAATGGGTGTTCCTAAGTACTAGTATTACACAAAATACTGATAATTCATTCCAATATCAAAATAATGATAATTCAAGACAGTCATGTTTAGAGTGCAGCATTGTCTTGGATCTGTTTTGAATTTATTGTCAAAGAGGGAGAATTGTCAAATTTATTGTGGTCATACCCTATGCCTGCAGGAATTTACTTGTCACCCTGTAGTGGTGTGCAGGGCACTCAGACACTATTGAGTGCATAACCTGGAATTTCTGGTAGTGGAGATGATATTTGGTATGATCCTTCTTGATACTTTTATCTCAGCAAACCTCTATTTTTCTACCATTAGTCTTTCATAAAGTCACACTTGCACAAGTTGCTGAGATGCTTTAAAGAATTACTGCTATTGCAGTATTTGAATGTATTTGGGAATGGGTAAAAAGGTAGAAGAGGAGTTGAGATGGAATGTTTATGAGCTACTGGAAAAGGGGATTACAACAAACAAGGAAAGTATCAGAGGGGTCTGGGAGGCTCAGGTAGCAAGAAGGGTCAGAGGAGACAGTGCTGGGACACAGAATTAGAAGGATTAATGGAGCTGGAGAGGTTCTGGGTAAAAGGGATTTGGATGAGGGAAAGGGCCCTCTCTGTCATATCCTGGGATTGCCTCTTTGTCACTCCTGTAAGAGGAGATGCCAGCCCCAGACACATTGCAGTCATAAGCCAGGCAAACTGCTACCTGCAGCAGTCTGCTCACTCTGCCTTGCCCCCTGTACTGCCCCATCTCTGCTCAACACTGAGGAATGAGGCAGAAGTGACTTCAAATGGGGTTACCTTTTGGCTTAATAAGTATTCTGAACTTGCAGGTGTAAGATCTGAGCCCAGTTACCTGAAAGCAGATAATAGATGTGTTTAAAGCTGTGTTTTACCAATGTCTCTTGGTTAGTGTTCTCCAGGAAAGTCTTCAGGCAGCCTGGAGATGCTGGGCAGCATATGGGTATGACCTTAAGAAACCCTGATACCCAAAACATTAAAAAAGGACAAAATTAAAATCCACATGTAGAGAGCAGTCACAAAATGTTAAGTTTAAATATCACTTCAAACTCATGTGCATATGAGTTTGAAGTGATATTCAAGCTTAACATTTTGTGACTGCTCAACTGCACATCTTGCAACACTGCCAGTCCCTCTTTATAGTGAATGTGTATCACTGTGAATGCAGATGACAAAAGCTGCAGTAGAAATTACAAAGAAAGGCTGAGTTTTCAGTCTTATATTACAATTAGTTTCCTTTGTGACAGTTGAATTTCCATCTGTGAACCAGTACATGAGAATGTATGTCCATAATTTCAACTTCATGTCTGCCTCAAAACATGCTGTTGTGACTCCTTTTGAAAGTGTAAAAGCTGCCAAATGGGCCAGCTGCTGGCATTGGGCACATCTGCACTCAAAATGGCAGCACTGGGTCAGGCCAAAGAGCAGTCCTCCCCTGTGTCCCCTCTCTAGAGGTGGCCAGTAATGCAACTGGGGGAAAAATAAAAGTCACCTAAGACCCTTTTTCTCACTTGCTTTCATGGGGTTGGCTCAGGGGCTTCCTGAATCACAGATTAATTCTTGAACAATGTGTGTATTGGTCACTACTTCCATTTAGTTGTGCATTTTTTTGGAGCCCATTTACATTGTTGTTCTTTGTAGAGTCTTCTTGCCATGAGTTCTGTGAGCTAATTATTTTCTCTAAAAAGGCAAATTAAAAATTTTCTGCCTAATGCTTTAATACCATCTGCCCCTAACATTTACACTGGGCAGAATGGTGACTAGTCTTTCACACTTTGTTATTCCCTGGATGTGTATGATTTTGCAGATTTTGCTCCTTCAGTTTTAGAAGCTGAGGAGATCCAGTGCACCAGTTTAATCTGTTTGTGGGTCCTGAGGGAGGCAATCTGAATGTGCTTCACCCATGGGGACATGAAACTGTCCATTGCACACTTGGACACTTCTCTGGCTAACAAAGGCAACAGCTGTGGTCTTTAGGTATAGTATGCATTATTGCCTTTCATCTTCGCAAAATTATTTTTGCTGGTTTTATTACTTTCATAGTTTGTTAATATTGCTATTTTTGAAGTTTTTTCCCTAGTGCTGTTTAACTTGATTAATATTATCCATATGTTAAAAAAACCAAACTGGAAATAGAAAAATGAATCATTCCAAGTTGTTGCTTTTTATTATTGTAGGAGTACATTTTGGTACACACAGTTTTTGCATTGACTTTGAGATTTTAAAATATGCAAAACTATCTACTTAAACAAATGATATTTTTTCCTGTGCCTTAATTGTTTACGGAAAGTCTGCATATGGATCTTCTCTTTTTTTTCCAGTTATGCTGAGCAGCTGTTCTGGAAAAAGTAGGTTTATAAACTGTATTTTCTTGTTTGCTTTTACTAATCACATTAAAGGTAAAATGTTGTAATTTATAACCATGTAACAAAGTTTGCCAGCTGGGTATTTGTTTTATGTCTGGAAATAAACAGACCTTTTAATGAAAACTTGTGACAAGCTCCAAAAAAGGAAAAGCTCCATTTGAAAGGAGCAGTGCTTTATAATGCTGAGTTTTAGGTTTATATTGGCTCAGATCTTCATCTGGTGGACATGGCTGCTGGAGTAGGGGCTGTATTTTGTGACTGTGCTTGAGAAGTCACATGCTGTGTTTTTGTGAGCACTTGCATGTTTTGCTGCCTGCTTTGGCTGTTCCTGTAAAAGAAATCCATCTAGATCTCTGCCAAGCATGTGGAATGCTTTTGAGGCAAGAAATGCTTTTGACCCAACAGGGCCATTAGTTGCCCATTTGTGATATGTGATCAAACCTCAGCCCACTGTTTACCTTGGGAGTTTGAGAGCTCTAGGAGGGTCTGTGGCACATCCAGGTGGACTCAATATGGGAAATGTCATTCTCTAATATAAGTGAGACATGTGGGTGTAGAAGAAGAATCAAAGTTATTCTGAAATAAATACACACAATACATGTATGTGCAATAGAATTATATCCCCTTGATGAAGAGGCTGCTGACTTTTCAGATGTAAATGTATGATACTTTTCATATTAAATATTGAGATGGTAATAATTCAGTCTATTTGCAGATACAAATATGTGATAGCACTAATGTGATGAGGCATTGCCATGCACTTGTACTTTTTCACAGAATCCTGCTTCATTGATAAACTTCCTGTGGTCATCTCTGGCTGGGTCTTTTTGTAGACATTTTGATTCCAACAGATGCTATGAAAAATGAGAATTGTTCTTCCATCTCAAATGCCAGTTAGTAAAAAAATTTGACCCATAAATTCACAAAATTTTTATCTGCCTATGTTTTTACCCGACATGGAGCCCTTTAAACCATTTCCAGTGTAAGAACATAATTCATTGCTAAAGCTTGCTAAACATTTTAGACACTATGTTCAGATACAGGACATATCTGTCCTTCCTTTTGGAGTGGTTTGGGAGTCTGTGATAAGGAAAATATTTTTTTGGAAGGGAGGGGTATGGAATGAACTCTACCAGTGCTGTGGCCTCTTGGATGCTGCTGCTGTTGTTTTTGGGGGGCTGAGCTGTAACAAGTTCACAGGCAGGCAGTCTGATCTGGTTCTCAGCTTTGCATTAAGCAGACTAATGTGCACCCTAGCTAACACTGGAAGCTTAACATCTTTATGAAGTGTTCCAGCTGTCTAACCCCAATGGAGCAGAGATAGAGCAGAGCTCCTTGATAAGTTACTTGATTTGAAAGCAGAATGCATGGTAGTTAGGCTGTATCAGCTTTAAAATACAGTATTGGGAAAATACTTTAGATCACAAGTTTCAACATAAAGAGGTTACAAATGTGTATATATTTATCTTAGAAAATTAATGTTCTCATTACTTTTAGAGAGAGAAGATCTTGCTACAAAAATTTTCTCCTGTGAAGATATACAGAATGTTTGATGCTATGGTATATTACTCGATTCTAACAATAATAAATTTTATGTTACCCATATTGTTATGTGAATTCCTCAGTGGAAAAACTGGAAGTGTAATAGGAACCAGAGCTACTGGCACAGATTATTGATGCCATTAAGGAACTCGATGATACTGCCCAAAGTGGGCAATTGCTCAAAAAACATCTGTTTCTAAATATTTTAAAATTCTTTTGGAAGTTGCTGCAAAGCATATTATGGTGTTGATCACTGCTGTTAAATGTGCTATAGTTAGTCCTCTTGATGGATAGCTGCAAAACTTAGACCCAAATTATTTTAGGAAAAAGGTAAATATTTTTTGTTGGAGATAAATTATGTCAGAGATTCCAGCATTAACATGTTTGTTTTTAGAAAACCATTTCCACCAAATAGATTAATAGTGAGTCATGTAGAGGAGCTCATACCATCTGTCTAATCACAGCCACAAACCAGGGGTGGTATCAGCTCTTTTCCAAATCACTGGTCTTCTGCTTAATGCTCCCTTTCCCCATAATAATCTCCAAATTCCAAGAATTCCTAGAAGCTTTGCATTTATCTGTTGGTAGGACTGCAAAATCCTGCACTACAGTACAGTGTTCCTTGTGGACTGAATGCTGTGGACCAGAGAATCAGGCAGCTGAAGGTAGCAAATCCAGCAATTTTTTCTAGCAGTGCTGTCTCTCCTATATTTCTTGGGGAAGAAGATTTTGCCATCACATTTCTGTCATATCTACCCAGATATCTACCCATGAAATGTAAATCCACTGATCAGAAGACCTAATTCTTTCGCTGTGTAGGAAGATATAATTATTAAACCTTATCACAGTAATTTTTTCCCCTCATGAGGCAGTTGATGGCTGTCAAGAGTGCACTGTGCAAGTATGCAAGGGCAGAGAGCAGAACTCTTGTGTACAATGTAGTGGCATTTGTTACTGCCACTGCTACTATTAATAGTTTATGGGAATGGTCTGCAGCAGCTCCTTGCCCTTTTTGAAAAAGATAGAACTGTGTATGGAAAATATAACTCCATTTATTCCAAGATCTTTGGAAGCACTGAACTAGAATCATTGCCGGTTGAATACTGAGTACTAAGGAAGGGCTTGCTGTCTAGACAGCACAGATTATATATTTCTTATTTTCTTGTGTAGGACAGTTGCACAGTTGGCCCACATGTTGGGTTATTTGTGGCTTTTCTAACTGCTGGAAGGTTGCAGTATCTTTCAGTGCACCTACAGGTGGGTCAGCAGCAACTCACTCTGTCTGTTTGAGGCTTGCAAAGAGCAACTGACATGTGCATCCTTCTAAAATGCTAAATATCAAGCTTTTAATCATCCAAGCCTTTCTAACATGTTTCTTTTATTTATTTTCAGGGATGACAATAAAATAAAGAAACAAGACATCCCAGCAGTTTGTGATCTTCACTGCTGTAAGGATGTCCCTGTAAGAAATGGCCTTATTGGGCAGAAGCCACCCTCTATCAACCCCGAGAGACTGAAGGATTTTGGTGAGGAGGATTACCTGAACGGGGATGTGAAGACCTGGGAAATGAAGATAGTGAGCCGAAATGAGGAGTTACTTAGGGATGCCCTTTCCTGCATCCCTCAGCCAAGTAGTAGGACCAGCCTGGCAAGCTGTAACAGGCTGATTCGATTTGAAGACATTAGTGCAGCAGCCTTCAAAATCCAGTGTGGTGTTCAGAAAACCCCCTGCATGGTAGGGAATCTTTATGGTTTTGCATTCTCTCAATGTTTGTTTTCATTTTCCTTATGAAAGTTGGTCAGAAATGAAGAAAGAGTATGTGTGAATTGCAGCAGATAGATCCGTGTGAGAAGAGTCATGTTCATATTAATTGTATTTAACTGTCAATAATAATTTTCTTCTTATCTGTTTACACTAACCTAAATCCTCAAAGATTGCAGTGACCTGTAAACAAAGGATAAACCACATTAGGCATAGACTTAATGTGGTATTATGCTCCCAGTGAAAAACTCCTGCTATAAGGAACCTGAGTTGGAGGTGGCAGACTAGGAGTGTTTGGGTAAGCACTCTTGTGGGAGGGTCTGGTGTGGAACCCCCTCATATTTGGAGGGTTTGAAGGTACAGATTTGCCTTCTGAGTCAGGCCAACCAGGAAGGGCTGGATATGTTCTGTAACCAGGTATTTCTGCCAGAGGTGTCTTCAGCAAAATAAGGATGCACACAAATCCCCATCCATGAGATACCCCCATCCATGTACAAGGTCTGAGAGAGAAGTACAATGGCAAGATGTACTGTATTTCTGTACTTTTTCATAGTGTTTTTCTACCATTGGGAGCTCTTCAAGCAGGCTACTCTGGGTTCTCTGGGTAATCTCTTTTCCTTTCCGTGGGTGAAAAGAATGTCTTTGCTAGGAATTGCCAAAGGAATTTGGCAGCAGTCCCAAATCAAACTCTCAGTGAATCCTTGTGGATTGTTTTTCTGGCATGCACAGGGTAAGAACCTTGCAATCTGCTTGGGGTTAGCAGTCCCTGGAGTGAAGTGGTTGGGTCCTCAAAGTTGTCCTTGTTCCCATATGATGCCTGCTGATCCAGAGGCATCATAACTAATTCCAGTGTGGGTTTCTTAGCCTAGCAGTCCCAAAATAAGGACAGCTGTGCTTTTTGTAGCACATTACTGAAGAAGTGTGTCGTGTCAAAGGACAAGGAACAAGACTGGGGCTGTAAGGTGGCACAAAAGATTTGGCTAAGGACTGCAGGGAAGTTTTGGCTAAGGTTACATTTCTTCACAGTAGCTGGTATGGGGCTGTGTTTTGGATTTGTGATGAAAATATTGTTGATGAGAGAGAGATGGTTTTGTTACTACTGAGCAGCTCTTCACAGAGTCAAGGTGTTTTCTCTTCCTCATTCCATCCCACAGTGAAAGGACTGGGGATGTACAAGGAGTTGGGAGGGGAGACAGCTGGAGCTGCTGACCCCAGCTGACCAAAGAGACATCCTGTACTATATGACACCTTGCTCAGCAATAAAATTAGGGGGAAAGTTGGCTGGGGGCCTGTGGCTCAGGGCCTGGCTGGTCATCGGCTGGTTGTTGGTGAGCAATTGTTTTCAATTGCATAAGCTGTCCTTCTTGGGTCTTACTTATTTATCTTTGTTATTTTCCTTTTAATTATATTGTTGTTATTTATTTTTTTTATTTATTCTTACTAATTGTTCTTATCCCAACCCATGAGATGTCTCACTTTTACTCTTCCAATTCTCATCTCCCCCAGAACAGAGGAGTGGGGAAATGAGCAAGTGGTAGGATGATATTTAGTTGCCAGTTGAGGTTAAACCATGACACCCCTTTACTTAAATAGCTCCTTTCTCCTAGTTGTCCCTGGCAGATTTATGCAAACCAGTTGTATCCCCTTTCTGCATTTACTGTTTCAAACTAAACAGTCTCACTTTCTTTAGTCTTTTTATAATGAACTATGCTTTTAAAATTATCTGAAAGTGGAAAGCCTATACCCAAATAAAAACCTGTATATTTTACTGTGAAAATAGCCCATGACTGTTGTTATTCAAAGTAATGTTCCTGCAGAAGTTATTAGTGCATTTCATGCACTGTTTCAAAAGCACAGAGTGGTGTCATGAAAAACACAGGAAAGCTTTATTTTAACTCATCATGTAGAGGCAAGAGCCCCTTTCAAGGATATTTGTTTAGACTAAAAAAAGTGAGTGTGACTATAATACATTTAGTTAATTGAAGGGAGAAACATTTTGCATAGGGTGATTCCTAATCTGCAGGTAAAACCATGGACAGAGCATCCTGGTTCCTTAGGTAGGAGATTGCCCTGGGGCTGAGATATGGCATCATGAATGAATTGTAACATGTCCAAGAGGTAGTGAGCATAAGAAAACTAGGAACTGACATCAAGCTGGGCACCTGGTTTGGCTGCTGATGAAGGAGCTGTAAGGGTTGTGTTGTGTTAGCTTTGTGGATGCCAGAGGGAGGCTGTGCTGTGTGCTGTACCTTAGATGTGGTATCTGTAGTCCTTAGATGAGATCGGAGTGACTAAAAGGAAATCTTACAGGCTGGTTCAATGTGTCTTAGGAGGTCACACATCAGGTCAGTTCAACTGCAAATAGCACTGATGCCTGCTTTGCTAGAAGTAGTTGCTATATTTAGGCTCTGTGAAAAAATCCTCAGTTAAAGGAAGACAGAAAGGATAACCTAAAGAATTAGAATCCTGATGATCAAGATTAAAGATAAATATCAATCTAAAGTACACCACCCCTGTGGGAAAGAGTGACTTAAGGACACAGTTTTAAATGTAGGAGACTTAGCAACTTTATTATGCACAGGATACATCTCCTTAAATCCTTTTTCTGATTGCTCACTCTAGAATCCAAGATTCTCTACAAAAAACAAGAATGATATGTGGAGTACTAGTAGCATTTCTTCTTTGGTGTTCTTGTTCTGTTTTGCATAGGCATTCTCCATAGATTAGGATGTTTAGGATATAAACTATTATCCTATTAGTGTGCTAAGCACTTTCCATTGTTTCAGTTTCTGCAGCCAGATTTGCAAAGGAGCAGCAAGTGGTAGCTCCTATGTCAGGACTTTCAGAGGCAAAATAGAGAATCTGGCCCCACCTATGGGTGAGGAACTTAAACATATGCTTAGAAATCCACTAAAAAGCCTTGAAACGTTCACCTGAAACGTGTAGTTTAACTGCATACTTTAAAGCAAGTGTCTGATTCAGATATACTTAGTTTATATAAATTCACTTGGGAAGTCCTGCAATCTGAAAACCGTGTCAGTGCATATTACTGTGTAGTATACATTGTATGTATGACACCGCCAGATATTGCTTAAGATAAATATTTTGTCATGCTGGTTTTGGATCTGTCTCACTTCATGATTTATCTTAAATGAGGACTTGATCCCCTAAATCACCAGGGCCTCATTTGCTTTGGCAGACAATAGAGGTGATGGAGCCAATTCTGAAATAGAGCTGCAATAAGCCTGGGGAGCTGGCACCCACAGGCTTACTGCAGCTCTATTTCACAAGTGATCTTGTGTAAAACTCTGGGTTTAATGAATATGGTAATAGGAAATTAATATGTTGATACATGCTGGGAGTGTCTTATTATAAAGCTTAACAAATATTTGCCATTTAAAATTTTTAAAAATCATGCACTTGGGCACTGCATCACATGTGATGTGCTTGCTAATTCCCCTCAGTTCTGGCATAATTTCTGTTCCAAACACTAAGCTTTTCCAAACAGCTGCTGCTTACACTTGCAGTCCTGGAAAATTGTTTTTTATTGTTTCCATTTTTGTTTGAGTAAGAAATGTCTTTACTAGTATTCTACTGGCCTTAGGATGCAAAATAGACAACACTATTGCAGAGAATCGGTGGCAGAAGCCATAATGGGGTATCCAGCTCTGGCAAATGCTGGAAGCATGGGTTTTGAGAAAATTGAAAATATGTATTTTTATGCCTGTGTTTGAACAGTAAGATCCAAAGCAAGTGCTATTTTCAGAGTTGTTAATGGCATGTGGTCCATATTTCACTGCTGTGAGTTTGAAAATCACTTCCATAAAGCACGAGGACCTGGTAGGTAATAACACACTGTTGTAAATGAAGAAGCAGAAGGTGAATTTTGCTTTTTAGAGCTCATATATAGGAGTAGAATTCAAGCCTCAGCAGGCAGCTGATAGGGTATGGAAGACTTTTGTTAATAGTAGATATACTGACATAATATTATTTATCTACTCCAGTATTCTAGGCTATCCAAGCTGTATGGAATGGACATCTACCTGAAGAAGGAGTTCCTGCAGTACACAGGGTCTGTGAAGGAACGAGGTGTGCTTTACCTTCTGATGTCATTGCCTCAGGTATACCAAAATGTCAGCATTCAAAAGAAGTAGAGTCGTTCTGCTTCATGAAAATGGAGCAGAGCTGAAGATAAATTTACCTCTAATCTCTGTGGAATCACAGTGTTTCTTGTCTTTGGAATCATCATACTGACCACAGCATGTGAACAGAGATAGGTCTGAATGTAAAATACTACTTTATTTACAATTGGCTAATCTGATGGTGAAATTCTTAATGTTTGAAACAAAAGCTTGCAAAATGGAAACATCAGCATTTTTCTGTGGCATTAAGATACAAATGGTTTTTTGTGTGCTGTAGTTCTGATATGTTGAAACCACCAAACTGATGAGTGATGATGAAATTGAAGTGAACAATGACAATGTATGATGACAAAGATCTAGATCACCGATTGATTTTGTAATGAATTTCAGTTTTCTTACATGAATAGCTTGTTTATCATTTGTCATAGGAGGTTATTACCTTTGTCATAGGAATCTCTGCAGTAATAATTGTTATAGTAGGCATGAGACAGCAGCCCAGAGCAGTGGTTATTGCTGCCTTTCGCAATAATATAAATGAAATCTTTTGTTAAAAGGAAGCCTGAAATAAAATAATTTAAAACAGGCAGAGCAGAAATATATCAGCTCTTCTGTGATCAGTTGGAGTTTTTCAGCTCTTTCCCATGGAACAAGAATCGAACCCAGAGGAGTGCGAGCACAGGGATTGATCTTGTGCTGCTTTAGCTTTGCGTGTAAATCCTGAGATCACACTAACCATGCATATAGTGTGCCATAATATCACAATTCAATCAGCTAGTAAAGGGAGTAAAGGAAGCCAGATCATCAGAATGATCCAGGATCATGTGGGACAGCTATGTGACACTGTCTAGTGTGCAATAACAACCCTGTTTTTCAGGAGCAGCAAAGAAAAGGGGTGATCGTGGCTTCGGACAGTAACTTTTCCATGGCTGTTGCTTACCACGCCTCAGAGCTCCGTGTTCCCGTGTTTGTCATCCTGTCCACCAGCACGGCTCCGGCCAGGGTCAGGATGTGCCGCGACTACGGTGCCATGGTCATCTCCTACGGCACCACTGCCAAGGATTCCCAGGTGCACGCCCGCAGGCTGGCCCAGGAGAACGGCTACCTCTACCTGGAAGAGTGAGTGAGAGCCAGGCACATGAGAGGGATCTGATTAGACCCCTGCACAGCTCTGCAAAAACAATTAGTTTCATTAAAATGTTATCACAGCTCATCCACACGCTCCTCTTACCTGGAATGTGGACAGTTACACATTCCCAGGCACAAATCATTCTTTCTGTAGCAGCTGGGGATGGAGACCAAGATGAAACACTCTTCTCTGCCCCTAAATTAGACAAACTCTGTGATTTCTATCGGCTGATATGATGGTGGCTATAGTTTAATTCTTTAGTAACTCTGTCAGAAAGCATTTAGGCTAGTGTTCATTCCTGGTCCTCTGAAGTTAGGAGGGTAACAGTCAATCGTTAATGCAAACGGTTCAGTGGGATGGTGTGGAGCAAGAGAAGGTTAAAGCTCTAAGATTTTCACATATCTGGTGTGAGGAACAAAACTGATACTGCCCTGAAAAAAAGATGAGACTACTTCAGGGATACACTTAAAGTAGCTAAGGATGAGCATAAATCTAAATTTGAACTATTTGAGGTCACTGGACAAGGCAGATGTAACAAAAATATAGGTAAGACAGGCAAAAACACTTAGAACTCATATATTTTCCCATTTCTCTTTAATCTCTGTAGCCTCTTATGCATTCTCCTCCCCCCTCCCTCCCCTTTTCTTTTTTAACCTTTCTTCAGGAAAGATTTCCAAAAGCACAGAGGGGTGAATCATTAACAGTGGTCCCTCTGATAGCCTAAGCTGGAATGTTATTGTCCCCCTACCATTGCTGCTTCTGTGCAGGTTTCATCCCACTCCTGGTGTTTGTATGGTGTCTCCTGCAGGGAGTGCCCATTCCCCTCCAGCTCCCAGGCACTGCTGCCTCAAACACAGTCATGGTGCCTGGGTAGAAGATGCCAGAATGAGCAAGTCCTCACTTCTGTCCCAGCTGGTGTATTGGGAAGGCAATACTACAAACTGTGTTGTTCAACTCCTCTGTTAGCTCTGCAGCAGCCAGTGACACACAGGGCTGGTTCCTGGGCCTGGTCTGCCACCATGGGCAGAGTCTTGTCCCAGACTGGGATTTTCAGTGGGGAATGAGGTGCCCCGAATCCCAGTGAATTTTAAACACTTCTAAACCACAGTTTTCCATAATTTGGTGATTCTCAAATTTCTGTCAGCCATCTTTCAATTGATGTGTTAACCTCCAGCTAGCTTGCATCAACTATCACGTTCACACAAAAGAACTAAACTATTTTATTGTAATTTGATGTTTAATCTTCCCCTCATCCCTAAATAATGATTTAAGTTGCATAAGGTAGATATTCTCCAGATTCATGAAGCTCCAGGGACAATGCATATGTAGAACTTCAGCATCCAACACTGAGGAACTCTAAATGTACACACTACCATTCATAATATTAAAGCACTCTGATTTATTTCAGGTTTCAGGTTACAAGAAACAAGTTGTTTAATCTGTGACTCTGTTTAATTAAAACCCCACAGATGCAATTTTTTACTGGAAAAGGAAGAAACCCCCCACTTCAGTTGTAAGGCTTTTCATCATGGGAAATATATGAAAAATACTTTGTTAGGTGTAGACCTGAAAAGATTTCCCAGTGTAATGTATGCCTTTATGGATAGCCAGTCTTCTCCAGTGTGGGTCTGACACACATTCTTGTCACTTGCCAAAGCTGTTTGTAAAATACCAGCTGAGCTTCCAAGTGTTAGAACGGAACTTCCAAAATGTCACTGTATTTCAGTTTAATTCTAGCTTGGATACAATCCCTAGCAATTTGGTCTCTGGCTGTCCTCACCCAGGAATTCCTTCTGCCCTTCCTGAAGCAGACCCTACGTGACTGGGTTGGGCTGTGCCTGCAGGAGTGATGCCCTGCAGCTGGGTGTGTCACTGTCAGCTCTTCCCATTGCTTGAGTGCAATTAAAATACTGTGTCATGAAAATGATCATGCAAGAATTCAAATAGATGAAGGAAGGACACTTTTTACTCAGTTGCAACTTCCTGGGGAATCCCAGGAAGGAAATGTGATTTTTCAGATTGGAATTCAATCATTTCGTCTGCCTAATTGCTGCCTAGGTGCCATGAAATTGTTTACTAACTCTAGGGGCTCAGGACCTCATTATAAATGCAATGTGACTATTGCCAATAACTAACTCAGTACCTCTGTGAGGCTATGAGAAGCATTCCTTTGTGAATCAGGGAGGAAAGAGTGCTGCAGGTGGAATTACACACCTTCCATCCTTGAGAACCCAGTTTTTTCTTGTGTAACTCCATATCTAAATGCTGATCAAACCTGATTATTTCTGATCTGGTTAGGCTGTTGCTCTATCCAACAGACTCTGAGTTCTTTACTAGGAACAGATAGGAGCAGAGCCTTCTAGCTGCCACACCAAAACTGCATTGGAACACTAAAGCCTGACAGCCCATCTTTGACTGCTGGTGTACCACACATTTCAGAAGGCAAATGTCCAAGTTTCTAGCTTGGGCTCAAAAATGCTTGTTTCACTCTACAGTCTTTAGATTTATCTGCCCTCTTCTTTCATTTTGCCTCAATGGCATATGATATATTTTTTACTTTCAAAAAGCAAAAGTTATCAGTCACAATGCAAAGAAAATCACCTATTTTCTTATAAAAGCTGATGGCTGATCAGAGAACTGATGTTTCAACAGGATGTTAGCAGGTAAAACATAATGATCTGAATTATTGACTCAAATTGCTAATAACTGTCTGTGCTCAGAGCAGTCTCATTTGGACAGTTTTCAGTTGCTAGAGAGGCTTTATTCCTTCACTGAATATCCCAAGCCTTCACTCATTTTTGCAGGTCCCCTTGTATCCCATGTTACTATGGCAGGGGTAGCTCTACAAACTTGGATCTGAATCTTATTTGAGAAAAAGTCTACAGAATTGTTCAGGAGGCCAGTGATACGTTTTGTCACATATAAGGGGGAAGAGAGAGCTCCATCAGTATCTTGATGGAGACAGTAAATACAGGCATACAGTTACTCATTCCACTATGATTTCTTGCCTTTGTCTTTGGCTGTGCTGCAGGAGTGGAAGTTCATTAATTGTATCCTTTCTTGTGTATCCTTCTTCTTTGTCCTGAAGAATTTTCTGTGTCTTGATATATATGTGAGGTAACTTCTCAAGAGCCTTGGTCTCCTCCTTGCAGGAATTTTGTGCTCCTACACTGAGCCTCTCTGTGCCTGTCTGACAGGTACAGTAATAAAAACAGTTTCCCAGTACCCAAACATCCTTGGGTCAAGTAAATCAAGTACAGCCATTGGATCTACAGTTCTGTTTGCTAGAAAAAGCAGAATATTCAGAGAGCTCATATTTATTTTCTTACATGTAGTTCTACATTTACATCATTACTAATTTGTAAATAAAATGCAAACCAGCTTTTAGAAATAGATCCAAGTCAGTCATGACTGTGTAGTGGAGTTTTCTTTGATTTTTTGTGCTGCTTGTCCATATTATTTTTACTACATTTGCCTTAAAGTATTTTACCAGTAAATATTTTGGCATGACTAAATGCTTTGCTTAATGCAAAGGTATCAGATCTTGGCCCTGGACTGTAGAAAGACAACCCTAGCAATCTCTTTGATATTTGTGAGGCTGAACACACTGCTCATTTCTCATGAAAATTTCCATTCACCACAAACACTAAATCCACTGATAAGTAAAGAGAGGATTTCTTTTTGAGACTTTGCTTGTAGTTTAGACTGCAGCATTTAAAATTTATGAAGCTGAAGGTAGTGCTGGCAATGGAAATATGACTTCTCCCTGCCAGTTCTGTAAACCCCTGATAACAATGGGAGTTAAGTGCTCTTCATCTGAAGATTGAGGGGCTTGTCTATAGCACAAGTTTTCTCTCAGTAGGCAGCAGGATGCTGTGATCCACCTGATGGCACCATCCTGTTTCTTCACCTCCTCCCCTCATGTGCTGCTGATTTACTCTCAGATTTATCTTTTTCTGCTGAACAATGTCTTGAAAGTAGTAGATGGAATTATTATTACAGCACTGAGAACTGTGACCTGTGCTGATGTTGCCCTCCTTCCCCCAGGGAGGACAGTGCTGTGTACCTGTCAGGCCTGGGAACCGTGGGGCTGGAGATGTACGAGCAGGTGCCAAAGCTGGACGCGGTGATTTTCCCTGCAGGAGGCCACTGTGGCTTGCTGGCAGGGTCAGCTGCTGCACTCAAACACCTCAACCCACATATTTCTGTAATTGTAAGTTGCCTTTCACCTATTAAGCTTTGTGTTTGCGTGGTTTTCACCACAGCTGTTTACAAAAGACACTGGTATCTAGTGACACTTGCAGAGACTGCCTGTGCTGGGGACAGGAACTATCTGATCCCATGGGCTTTGCCTCAGAGAAGACCCTGTAAGAACCAAGGAAGTTCCTGTCCTTTGGCTGTTTGGCTGGATTTAAGAGAAAAGTGTGGGAAGACTTTTCCTAAGCAAATAAAATCCAGTTCTGTGTTTTGAAATAAGTTCTTACTGGAAAAGTTTGGTCCTAAGTAAGCCATAGAATAAGTTTAGTGGTAGCACAGTTGTTTTGCCACTTGAAATTAATTGTTAATTTGAACAGGAACTTTCTGTAGATTTTGCTGTCTACTTTGGTGGCAACTTCTGTTACAACTGGTTCAATAAAAAAGTGACGACATCTCTCTTCCTCAGGGAGTTGAATCTGAAAGTTTCCCAGTATTGCAACAGTCCTTAAAAGCTGGCCACCCAAATGATGATCAGGCCTGCAACAATCATCACTTCTATGGAGGTGAGAAAATGCAATATTCTTTTGGAGGTAAAATAAAGGTTGTAACAGGTTTCTCCAACTATATTATTTTCTCATTATTTCAGTTCAAACATATTTTTAAGGAGTTCTCTGAAGAGTCAGAATTTAGTTCAAGCTGTAAGAGCAACTTCTGTCGCATTTTCCCCCACACCATGATGGGGTAAAATATTATTTCCAGTGTACATGAATACTTAGAAATATGAGAGTATTTGTCTGAACATTGTGCTCACACACAGCATCTAAACCAGTGAAGTCAATGGGAAAGCTCGTGTGGAAAAGGCAGGAAAACGATGCAGTGCTTAAATATTTAGACACAACTGTTCTCAGAACAAAAGTGTTTATAAATGGTAGAGTTGATTTGCTCAAAAAACCTCATCTGTTAAGCAATTTAAGAACATCCTGCTTGCCTGATGTTCAAATCTGTGTATGTTTTGGATTAAATGGGAGTTTTGTAAGAAGCTTCTAATTTCTCTTGGTTACCTCTGCCTGTGTCTGCACTCTTAGCCAGCTGTCCTGCTGGAGTTAACAAGCCCAGTGCCATGTTTAGGTCTCCTCTCCTTCAATCCTCATTGAGCAGTGAAAAGCACTGGGCTGCAGGGTCACTCCCACACTGCAACAATACCAGTGAAGTATCAGAAGTTTCTTGAAGGGGTCCAAAATGGCAAAATCTTCTTGTGAGGTTTGGTCTTTCATTGCCAAACACATTTCTGTCACATGAAAAAAATCAAGCAACTTAAGGTCATGTAACAGCAGTGTGCTGCACTCATTAAGGGCAAAAACCAGCCAGGACTCTAAAAAAATCTTGAATATGTCTGAAGCAGCCAACTTCATATTTTTGTCTTTTGAAATCTGCAGATGTGAGTGGAGTTTGCTTTGGCAGCAATTCTTTGCAGCTGACTGGGAAGCTTGTGGATAAAGTTGTTGCTGTGAGGTAGGTGAAGAAAAACAGTGACATGAATAATACTGAATGCATGTTTTTGTATATGAAAAATGCAATGTGCAGACAGGGGTACTGTGGGGATGTGGGTACCTTTCCTTCCAAGAGGGGCACTGAAGACTTTGAACCCAGACCCACAAACCATAAAAATCACAGAATATCTCAAAGTGGAAGAGATCCATGAAGGATTATCAAGTCCAACTCCCAGCTCCTCACAGGACTACCTAAAACGAAGTGATAGGAGTAAAAGTATTGTCCAAACTCACCCTTTGGCCAAAATTTCACCTGCCAGCACTACCTGGTCACGCTCAGGGCGTAAAACACTTGTGTTCTATAGCACCAGAACAACAGTCCTTGACAAACCTCTTCTAAATCTTCACAAAAAGGCCGCATTTGTGGAATATACTTACTACTAGGATTTAGGTAATACTTCTCGTGAACAAGCCATCCTGTCTTTCAGTTAGTAATGAGTCTGAGATGTGCATTCACCCCCAGCAGCACAGCATTCTGTAACACCACCTTGGGATCACATGTATCTGGGTGCATGGCAAGAACCCAGTTACCCATAAATGCATTATCTTCTGCTTTTGGGAACTCTTTTGATTTGTTTTGACCCAAGTCTCTTGCTTTCAGGGAGGAGGACATCCTCATTTCAATGCTGAGACTGCTGGAGTACGAGCGAGCCACGGTTGATGCAGAAGGGGCCATTGGCCTTGCAGCACTGGTGGCAGGGAAGCTGCCTGAGTTGAAGGGTAAAAGGTACAGCAGCTATTGCAAACGGGGAACTGTGGCAAAAACATAGGACTGAGCACCTTGGTTCTAGGAAATTATGAAAATCTACTTGTTCTGTGGGCGACCAGGCAGTTCCTGCCCCTGAACTGCCAAGGGGCTCATTGGTGGCAGAAATTTCAGACTGACTGGACTGGTCACTAGTGGTAAGATTGTGCTGAATCAGACAAATGCCAGCCTGGAGACCTGACACACCTTGTCCCTTTCCTCAGTTCAGATATTTTGGGGAAAGGCAGTTACATCTCCACGAGGCATCATTGCACCTACCAGGACAGTGTCCTGCTCTTGTCAGCCTGTTGTCTCCTCTTGCCCCACTTGTGGAATCCAGCCCTGTCTGTGGTGGGACAGGAGCTGGGCTGTCTGCTGCAGTGACCCAGTGGCACCTGCCTCCCAGTCCTGAGAACTGTCCACAAAATCAGAGGGATTATCCTTGTGCTTAGTGTTCAACATGTGGCCAAGTGCTGCCTTGCCCCTCAGCTTGAGGACTCAGCACTTAAGTGGATTGAGCCTTGGCTCAGGTCATAGTCCAGAATGTATTTAAACATAATGCCCTCAAGACAAAATAAAATCTCTAGTGCACAGAATTGTACACTAAAATACTGCTGAGACAATTCTTCAGAAGAGGTTGACAGTACACACAGAGCAGCAAGATATTTTAGTACAGCTACAATAAAAGGAAAAATGCAAAGAGGTTTGGTTTGACTCTGCAGAGAGAGATTTTCATAGACCAATCACATGGCTCTTCACTTGCACTTCAAACATTTCTGCACTCATTTTTCAAGGTTGTGATCAATTTAATCAATGGTTACAGAAAGCCTTGAACATAAATTTTGTGTATCAGTAAGAGGCTGAAACTTAGGACTTCCAGGTGAGAATTATGTCAAATTCTTAAAACTTGAAACCTAGACCTACAGTGGTCCAGCTAATTATCTCTAACAAAACTCAAATCTACAGGAAATGTAGAAATGAAAACAACATTTCAGACCAACTAATTCTAGGCCTCTCCTACCTGCTCACAATGGATGCTGAGGCAGGAGCCCTCTCATCTGTAATACTTATTGAGGGGAAGTTCTAGCAGGCTGATATTGGCATAGTCTTTCTGATTTATAGTTCCTTTGCACAGGCAAGTGCTAATCAAAACTCTTATTTTCCTGTCTGTTTTCAGAGTGGCAGTTGTTATATGTAGTGGAAACCTGGAATTACATTTGCTGCAACAGTGCATATCTCGTGCCCTGACCCTGGATAACAGAGTGTGCAGATTTTCCCTTGTGATTTCTGACTGCCCAGGAGACATGTCAAAGCTACTGGAGATTTTGGCTCGGGAGGAAGCAAGGTAAATTAGACTAACAGTTGGGAAATATAATCAGAGACTAGCACAAAGATTATTAAAGATTAGGAAGTGTTTCCAAACATCTTTGAAGCCAAGTCTGTAAGTAATTAATTAATCAAAGGTTTTTTCTTGTTATATTGCAGAAAAGTTTTTATTTCCTTTGTTTTTTTTCCAATCTGAAAACACCTTTGTAGCATTGTAGAACTGTATTTTATTCAGAAAGAAGGAAAGATATTTACTCTCCAAACACTTTCAGAAACTGTTTTGCAGTGACAGGGGATTGTTGTGATCTCTAATTTGTCCCTTATTTGATCTAGAGTTTTGGATATCAAACAAGAACGCACGTTTGTGACATCTGAGCTCTTCACTGTCAAGGTAAGAGGAGATGCAATTTCAGTTTCTCTAATAGTACTGGCCTCCCCTGGTTTATTCTGTTTCCCTCTCTATGCCTATGTTGAAGAAGTCCAACAGGGTGTGCACAGTGTCAGAGATTATTTCCTCTGTGTTATACAGCTTCTTGCCAAACACTCAGCAGGCATATAAATAACACAGGACCAGTTTTACTTGCTGTTGCAACACCCTGGTGAACTACTCCAGGTGTTGCATTGCCCTGTTGCTGGTATGAACCCTCCTGACACGTGTGGCAGGAGCTGGAGGAGGTGAGCAAGCTGCAGCATCCATCCAGAACTTGAAGAGCCAGCTGTGTAGGCTGGCTGTAATTGTCTGACATGTTTGTCTCAAAGCAATGTAGAGAACACCCTTACTCTTAAGGAATCCTCGTTTTAAACTAGGGACTCAAGTTTTGTTTCTTAGCCTTCAAGAGCACAGAGGAAAGCCTATGTTTATTTATTCCTTTGAGTATTGGATAATTGGATGCAGAAGCATTGAAGAGGTGTTATCAGCTAATGGTGTCTCTTAAAAGAACCATTTGTCTCATGGTGCATCTCTTATTTCAACTGGTTTGGCAAAGGTGTGGTCCTACTGATTTCATGCTATTGCTGTCCAGGTCCAACCTTAGTTTGTGAAACCCCAGATCTAAGTCAAATTAGAGATCTTTGCTAAACAGGCTCATAATTGGGGTGCAGAAATGTTACTGGGTAAGGAAGTTCATTGATTTTGGCCTTTAAATTTAATTTCCCACCTGGATGCAAAAGCCTGCTCAATATTTTGACTTGCAGATTTAAAGAAGAGGCAGAGGTACTATGGTACATGATATCATCAATATCTCAAGCATCTAGGACTTAACCCACATTGTTCTGCAGTGGGCCATAATGACAAGACAGCTCACTGCTTTGGCTGATTTGGAGATAGTGTGACACTCGCTGCATGAGGTGGATAAATCCCTCTGAGTGACTAACTTAGCTCTGGAAATGCTTTTCACTGAAGGCTGGAGTCAATAAAACTTGTAAATCTTAGAAAGTTTTCAATGCCATTTTTATGGAGTGAGGCTTGTAGTTTTTACTAATGCTATTAAGCAAATCGAATGACATCTACTGTCTTAGGTGTTTCTTTTTGTTTGGTTGGTTTGCTTTGCTTTTTTTTCAGTAAATACAGGCTGGAATGAAAACAATGCCATATACTATTCTCTGCACTTTAAACACAGTGTAATTTCACTTCAAGAATCTGACAGTGTTGTGCAAAAGGGTTGAAGGGAGGAATTTGCATCCCTGAATAATTTAATTGGATATTGGATTTGTATGATGGCTTTCAATCAGTCTGGGAGAGGCTATTGGATAATTAGATGTGAAGTACAGAGCAGTGACCCAGACGTACAGACCTCTGCAGGCAGCTCTATCTGGTGATATCTAGAGAATTGTGAAGCTTTCTTTGAAAATTAAAGCATGTGTAATCAAAAAGGGTAAAATACAGAGTTTATATGTAAGCATCAAAATGAATTTGCTCTATCCAGGTACAAGAAAAAATACCTATTTTCAGAGTAAAGCTAATACCTGTGAGGGATGTTTTGGTTTTTTCTTTGTTGTTCTAAAAGCCAAAGACCTGTGTCATCAAAATGTTTTATGCATTTGTTATATAAAGTACAACACATAAAATAATGCATGAATTTAAACCTGGGTCAAGAGCCAAAATTACCACCTTGTGCTGTACTGGCAGTAATAACAAGAAAGGTATTGCAGCTATACCCATTTCATTCTGACTTTAATATGGACTTTTGACTGTGGATGTAGATTAGGTGTTTGACAGAACAGAGCAACGAGCATAGATGCTGATTTGAAACACCAAATCTGTCCTGTCAAGGTTGTTGCCTCAGTATTTAATCATCCTTTTAGATGTACCCTTTTATTTCTAAATAAAAAGATAGAAGTTTGGCTTCTGGTTGCTTATCAGGATGACAGAGCTGCTTTGGTTGGGTTTTTTTTCCATTGTAGTGAAATGCCTTCCTGGGTTAGTGTTTGTTCATCTGTGTGTCCTCACACTTGGAACACTCTGTGGGAAGATCCTTGCTGATAGTCTGATTTATTAAAAAGTAAGGACTTTCTAAAATGAAATTTTATGTTCAAACTATACTTCTGAAAAAAAAAATTGGAACATTTTACTGGCAAAAATAACAGATGTTTTTCTTTACTAAAAAAAAAAAAGACAGAATACATCTATATTAGAGTAAGAAGTGGTGTAGAGAGATGAGCTGCTTGTGTTCCATGGAATGTTATGGGAATTTCTTTAGGATTCTGCCTGCCCATACCTCCAGTTTAGATTCTGTTCCCTTCTGACTCATTCTGGATTTCTTTCTCACAGAGGACTACACCCTAATTCAGTCTTACCTGACTGGTTAGGAGACTACTTCCAAAGTCCCTATATTGAAACAGATAACTTAGTAAATCAGACAAATTACCAGTCTGGTAGGCTTCACATTTTACGCTTGTGGAGGTTAGATGCCTGGGAATATCTCGACAGAAAAAAGATCTGAGCTAATGAAATCATCTGATATCACCAGTTAACTGGATACAGATATCTAAAGGACTACCCAATTCATGGGAGGAAGCTGCAACTTGCTTCTGTGGACTTTCTCTGTTCTCCATCAGTAATATTCCTCAGATTCAATCGCTACAATTTATCGCTTAAATTGCTTCCATATGTAAACCTCCTCAAAACCATTTAAGTCCCTTTAATTTCATATTACTATTGGCTCAGAGAGAAGTCAATGAGCAAAATCAATAAGCAGCTTAATAAAGTAGGGACATTCTTTGCTATGAAATAGATCAGCATCTTGCCTGCTTAATAAATGTATCATTTTTGGACTCGGGCAACCTAGTTTAAAAAAATTTCCTTGAGCTCATCAATTTTCTAGAAAAGTCTTCTCACCACTGAAACTACAGCATAATCAAACTGGCAAGTTCAAGAGGGTTCTGCAAGGTCTTGAATTGCCCCAGCAGCTTTTCAGTGGGTGGCAGTGCTCCCTCTGAGCTCCCTCCTGTCTGGCATTATGGGTTCTCTGGTCTGTTCACTTCAGACCTCTTGGGAGCTTCACTGTGCTGTGGTTTTGAAGAATTTGGAAGAGAGTGGCTATAAAAAGAACATCCACAACACTACTTTTCCCCCCCTGTCTGTGCACAAAAATGTTAAATCATAAATCAAATATTTCCTTTTCTTTTCAGTAACATTACACATTCTCCCAGTGGTGCTGAAACTCCTGGCTTTGTGTGGTATAGTGCCTGTTTTTCTCATACAGTTCATTCACCTCAGGCCAGAACTCAATACATTATTGTAGTCTGCTCTGGTCAATTTGAGTAAATTCATTTGTGCCAACTTGCATTCTGTAAAGGATGGAAGGGAATATTTTGGGTTAGAGTCCCCAGTTGCCAACATATTGCCTGTTAGTGACCTGTGAAGAAAATACACAGGAGCAGGCAGCTGTACAGCTAAGGTGTGCAGAAGGATGCTACCATTCCCAAAGCATTTCCTGCATGACCCTGGGCAAGGCTCTGTTTGCATTGCCCACTGCATGTTCCATTCCCCAGCTGCAAAGTGGAGACACTGGGAGTGGGAAGTTCCACACTCCATTTTTTTCTGAGGCCCTCCAGAAGTATTTGGTCATGTTCTTTGATGGCATCCACAGCAGACTGTGGCACAGGGCAGCCTGGCCCAGCTGGAGAACGAGAGGCTGGCCCTGGGGAGGGTCTGAGTGTTTCTGTTGGGTTATTACCTGCCTTACGTAATGTGCCTGCAGCTTGTTCCTGCTCGTGCTCACCCACCTGAATGCCCCAGTTGCCAAAAGATAAGGGCTCAGGTTGCACAACCACTGAGAGCTGCTGCACTCTTTCTCAAGCATGCCTTTGCTCTGACCATGGGGACAATCTGGCAGCTAATCCCCAAACCATCAAGTGAGCTGCTGTTACCAAATAATCGGTAACGTGAAGTAATCTACACTGGGTGTTTACCAAATAATTCAGACAATTGCCCAGTTGCTGATTTTTTTTTAAGAAGCCCCTTTTTCTAAATACAGAACGGAAACCAGTGTATATAAATCAAGTTTTCACTCTTAACTCCAATGACTTTCAAGCAAACAAACCTACAATGTTGTTAAATGTGGTGTTTCATGAATACTAAGTTATGCAAAAAGACAGCTTAAGATGACCAATATGGTTTCTAGAATTAAAGAAGCAGGATACAAAGATTCAATGATGAATCACAGACATAAAGAACTACACTAGTTACTTAGGATTAGCTTTACACGGAGCCTGGAAAAGGACAAAAGACTGAAATCTCTTGATTCAGCAGTACTACTCAAATTTCCTCTGCTCTCTAACATTGGCTCAGCATGTCCCCCCACTATTTTTATTTGCACACACATCCTACAGATAGTAGGCATCAGGGAGCTGTGAGGCATGTCAAATTAATTTTTAAAATCTAGAAAAATATGATCTAAAAGGCAAAATGCTTTCACTATGAGATCTTGCAGCTAGAGGTGCCCACCCTATTCAGAACAGAACTTTGCAAATTTCTTCCTTTTGTGAAGTTAAGAAATTTCCTCTCTTTGAAGCCAGTTTAATTCCTAAGAATATTTAGATTTATGCATCTGGGTTTTGGTGTTGCACAGCAATAACTTGTAATCAATTTTTTCCTTCAATACTTTTTTAGCCTTTGTCCTATTTCCTCAATAATTCCAGTCATTAAATAAGCCCCACAAGCCATCAATATTCAGTGAAATCTCTTCTGTCTTTAATTTTAACTTGTATGCTGCTCTGAAAAAAACTTACAGGCTGACTAAACCCTTTGGCTGGAACGTATCTTTAGATTACCTGTCACAGGGAATGGAACTTTAAATACAATAAAAGATCAGTCTATCTGGTTATTTTAATGGTCTTACTGGGCCAGACTATTATTTAATTAATTAATTCAGCAAAGATATTATATGCAGGAGAGAAATTAATAAAATGCATTCTATTATTTGTGGGTCTGTGGGGTTTTTGATACACAGAAAAGAAAGGTGTGCTGTGCACAGATGACCCCACAGCCAATAAGAGCTCTGCAGGTTCAAAAATCCCATGTATAGTTCTGAGGGCTTATCAGTATGAAATAAGTTTAAGGTAAAATTTCCTCTGCCTTGTCTGTACAGGAAAGATCAGGCAATAGCTTCCATTATTTATTCTTAAATAAGACCATTTTGGGGCACTTTGCTCATTGATAGCTGTGCAACCTCCTATAGCGAGTGGTACTGGGATGCTTCTGCATCCCACATGAAATTTAACCTCATAAACTCCCTGTGAATGTGAGGGTTACCCTGTTGGACACGTGTAAATTATGTGTCCCAGGTGAAGCAAGCAAGAGAGAAAGTTTATAAAAGTATACCTGCAGTGTAAATGGGCTTATTCTAAGCAAGAAAGTAAATTCTTGCCTTCCTTGCTGCTGAGATCTGCAGCTGCCCTGAGGTGTTGTGTGAGTCTCTCTTCACTCCTGCTGGGACCAAATGTTCTCTGTTCCTTTCTTTGATGACTGTGAAAAATCAGGTGAATTTCTAGGGCAGTCTCTCTTCACTCCTGCTGGGACCAAATGTTCTGTTCCTTTCTTTGACAACTGTGAAAAATCAGGTGAATTGCTGGGGTTGTTTTTTATCACTTCTGCTGCTGTTAGTACTTTTATGATACACTGCAGCATAGTATCTCCCTTATCAGCTGCTGGTTGTTGTGCATGCTTAGGACAAAATGACAGTGAGTGTTTATCCAACCTGCTCGCAACTCTGGCTCCAGTCTAGTGAGGTCTGCCTGGTTTCCATCATGAGCAGAAAGGAAAGGGCAGAGAGGATAATTAGCCATAAATCAAAATGCTTCCCCATGCTTGCTCCCAGGGCAGAGCAACAGCTTGCTACCAGACATTCAAGGCTGAATCTGTCACATCCAGACTGGTTTCAGGAGCAGCAATTGATTTACTCAGGACAAAACCAGCATGATTACTATGGAAGAGGAAAAATCTTGTTGTTTTAATTACTGACTCCATGTGTGTGTCCCCTTGAAGATATGATTGCAAAGCTTTAGGGATTTTACATGAACCAGGGAATGGTGCTCTCAGATACTTTTCCCAATCATTGTGTTCTCTCTCCTTTCCTCATTATTTCTTGTCCTCTATGACTGTCCTTCTCTTGAGATTAAATCCCACTTTTTTGAAGAAGAAAGAAATTAACATCTAATTTGCATTCCAAAGAACCAAACAAATAGAACTATGTGCAGCACAAGAGGCAAAGAATTACAAGACCAGATCAGAATTGTGGCTTATTTCATGATGGGTATTTGGGAAGCTGTAGCCAGTTTTCTAATTAAGTGAGCTATGGCTATTTAGATTAACTTGGAGTGTTAGTGTTTTATATTTTCATTCAACAGTTTTGCTAAAGGTTTATTGTTATTTTAAGACAGTTCCAGAAAGCATTGTTTCAAAGTTCTTATTTAGAAATGTCCTTGTAAAGGAACTAGAGTGTTTTTTGCCTAGTTGCTTTCTAAAAGGGATGCAGCTCTGATGGGAACATTTTGACAGGGCATGTCTGGAACAGCCCACCATCAGGTTATCATGGCTTGTTGTTTCTCTCTCTGTAAATTTGCCTCCTACAATGAACTCTGTAGCTGCACTGTGACTCATCTTGGGTCCTTTCCTTGCTAGATTTCCACGTTTCTGTGAGGTCTTTTCCCCATGTGGCACTTTCAGCATCGGTGATTATTCCAGCAGGACTAGCAGTAATGGAAGTTAGGAGTTTGAAGTATTTGAAAATTATGAAGTCTACTTTTCCTTCTGTGCCTTTACTTTGGTGCCTCATCTTTGCTAGTGCCCAGGCTTTCAAATGATAGGGCAGAAATGTGAGTATGCAAAAAAGAGAGATTATAGAAAAATTGAAAAAATGCCATTGAAGTTATTTTCTTTAGTGGCTGCATGACAGGATTTCAATAGTAACTGTGGAGGCAAGTGAAGAATTTTAAAAAAACTATCAAGATTGGTTTTGCCCAAGTTGTTTTATTTAGCAGTACAACAGCCATAAAAGAAAACTGAACATGATGCAATAAGCAAACAAAAAACAAAATTAAGCGAGAAGGTGTGTGAAAAGTGAAACCAGCCAAAATACTGCAGAGATTATAAAGAACTGGGGGATAACTCCATGACAGACAAGAGAAGGAGAATACACAAAGCTTGAAGGATGGAGGTACTGGAACAAATCCTTGCCAGAAATACAGAAATGTGATAGAGGTGGGTGAGGTGGCAGCAATGTCACGTAGAGGGAAAGGAAAAGAGGAGCTGCTAACAGATGTCTTCATCAGAGGCCAAGAGCAGAGAGGTACCTTGCCCAAGAGCCAGCAGAGGATCAGCCTGTCTTCTTTAAACTTTGAAGGCAATAAAGTAGGGTTTTGGAAGGTTTTATGGTCATGCAGATGGGCTGGAAGAGCCCCAGATGTCTGCAATGTCAGTTCTCTTACCTGCATAGACAGCGGATGTGAGAGCCAGAGTTTTTGTTTTGAACTGATTGTTTTTATGAGTGTATTTTAGGTTTAAGTTGGAAATGGCTTTGTCTGAGATTGCTGCCATCCCATCAGAAATGATCCTAATTCTTTTTCCAGGTGATCTGCACTGTGGAGACCAGAGACAAGATCCACACAGCCCAGCTGAGGAACGCGCTCCTGGAACGCTACCCCACAGCGGCCTGGACTGAGCGGTGACGGGCACAGCGCAGGGGGGCACGAGGGCCTCTGACAAGCACTCTGCAGAGCCCCAGCCTTGAGGCTTTCACAACAAATATTGTCTTTCAAAGCTGAACAGTTAGCAAATAGTTTCAGGATATTTATTTCCTGCTCAAAATGTAGTAAATGTCTTTGGGGAGAAAAAAAAAAAGTTCAACTCAGACGTTAGTTTAGCTAAGAGAGCTCTTAGTCTCTGCTGGTGTTGGAATTCCTCAATTCATTATCAGCTGGCTGCCTGGATTTTGGCTAGTTTGTAGAACCCAATGATATTCCATAAACAGGGAGAAGGCATTTCTCTTTACATCTGAATATAGACCTCTCAAAGGTCTTCTGATTTTGATGCCCATTGTTGAAGTAATGCAGCTCCTTCTGCTGGACTTAGCCACATTACAAGTAGAGAAATTTTCTGTTTCCAAGCCAGAAACAGTTTTCTGTTTGCTAAATCTGCTTCAGGAGGTGTGTGGGGTTGAACATGACTATGTTCTGGTCTTTGCTACCATGTGAGGAAAAATTATGCTAATAGAAGGTGATTTAAACACAGACAGAAAAACCCTTGGAAGATAAAAGCCAATATAATATTTTTTTCCCCAAGGGAAAATGATCCTATTTGCAAAATCAAATTCCAAAATATTTTGCAGAATTTGAAAAAAGTATTGAGTATGATTAGAGCTCATAAATGGAACACAAATATATTTCTTCCCTCTGCTTTTGGAGACTCAGTATGAAAAGTAGCAACTGGCTTGTGTTTCTATATAAAAAGGGGTCTCGCTATCCATGTGAATTTTGTAAATAGCATTCCACTGATTATCTTAGTCTGTCTAAAACAGGCTCTATCCATCTCACCTGACAGATTGAGTACACTGTTAATAGTGACATATATTTAAAGACCACATGTTAATAGGCAAAGGCAGTGCTGGGAGAAGAGGAAGCCTAAGTCTTAGGCACATGGCTAATGCAATTAACAAAGAACACATTGACCTAAATACCATTTTTATCACTAGAGGCAGAGACCAACTAATAATATAACAGAGTGGGATGGCAAGAAATATAAGAGAAGTTCAGGCCCTCTTCTGAATGTGCACACCACAGAGTTGTGCCTTTTAATTTGGGCAGAATTTAACTTCAGCTCTGGAAGACCTTACAGCACCTTCCAATACCTGAAGAGGGCCCATTGAAGAGGAAAAGTCCAGTCCCCTAAAGAGGAAAGCTGCACTGGACAAGGGGCAAAGGCTTTAAAGTGAAAGGGAGCAGATTTATACTAGGCATTAGGAAGAAATGCTTTACTGTGAGGGTGGTGAGGCTCTGGCACAGATTGCCCAAGAAAATGATGGATGTCCCATCCCTGGAAGGATTCAAGGCCATGTTGGTTGGGGCTTTGGGCAGTCTGGTCTAGTGAACAGAACTCCATGACAGGGAGGTTGGAACTGAATGGTCTTTGAGGTGCCTTCCAACCCAAACCATTCTGTGGTTCCATGATCCATCTCTCTCTGTAGCTTATACAGGCAAGATGGGATGAGAAGGGCAGCACTGTGGCTGTCTGCAGTAGAATTTTTCTAAGAAATAATCTGTTGCTCCTTCTTGTTGTAGTTCGCAAGGGAGTGGGAGTACAGAGTCTGACAAATGGTGGACAAAAACATAGTTTACAGATTTGGTCTGTTTCTGGAAGGACCATATTGGTTTGCACATGGAACTAAAAATTATTGATGTCCCAATGGTTAGTTTTGTTCCCTTCTTGCCAGCCAGAATGATGGGTATAGGCCTTGGTCCTGTAAATCACAGCTGTGTCTTTTCAGACACCATTCTTTTCTCCACTGTCAGGAGAGTTTAAAAATCTACATGGAAATAGATTACAGAGTCCATATTATATACTTGCTACTTCCATTGGAATGAGAAATGAACCACATCATTGAAGAGCAGCTTTGGGGATGAAAACCCACTACTGGTAAGGGTCTAACTACCCTCTCATGTTTTCTGGTAAAAGTCTCAGGAAATTTTGAGGGTGTCTCAGGTACCTGCATGAGAAGAAAATGGAGCTTTATAACCAAAGCTCTCAGTAGTGGCCAACAGGTCCTGCTGTCTGGGTATTTGGTTTAAAATTTTGTATTATCCTGGACTTTGTTGTTTTAGCTCAGAGCATTAACAACTTCTTTCCTTATCAGTGGGAACTGCATTTAGCAAGTCTTCACAAATCTGGGGCAAGAAGATGTAGCAGATAGAGCAACCAAAAATCAATGCACTTGAAATCACTATATGATTTTTGGAAATGTGTTTGGGGTGGAGGGAAGGAACGTGATGTCCAGAAGGTGCTTAAAATGTCAAACATGATATTTGCAGTTTGGGGTTTTTTTATTGTTTTAAGTATAAACATAGTTTAAAGTGTAAATCACTCTGCAGCAATAAACACTTTCTATGTGAATATAATAATACCAGAGGTGTTTTACATTCTATATTGCCTTTATTGAAGTCTCATTGGCTTAAAAGAAAAAATTAAGATCTTCCAAGGGGAAAAAAACAAATGAGACATTTAAATGAATGTATGCTTGGAAAGAATAATTAAATACCTGTGCTGCTAACCTTTTCCTTTTTGAATTATAATATGAAATATAATATGAAATATATGAATTATATGAATTATAATAATATGAAATATATTAACTATAATATGAAATATAATATGAAATATATGAATTATATGAATTATAATAATATGAAATATATTAACTATAATATGAAATATAATATGAAATATATGAATTATATGAATTATAATAATATGAAATATATTAACTATAATATGAAATATAATAAGATCTATGGCATTTCAAAGATCTGATAATGTGAGTTTGAATGTTTTATTTAAAGAAATATTTTTATATAGATTGTTCTTGTGTACCTTGAAAAAAACCTTTAATGATTATTTTAAAATTTCACTAATGGTTAAATCAGCAAAACATAAATCTAAGCATGTATTTATTTGAAAAATAATTAAAATTCTGCTATGCCACCTCAGCAATGAAAGATTTGTCATTCTCTCGTGTGATAGTGACAGCAGCCTCACTTTAAAAAATCAGAGTTAATATTTTTCTTTTAGCTGTCATTGACATTGCCTCAAAATCCACATCATTCATGCAAGGGGGAGCTCTGAGCTGCCAGGGAGGAGAAAGCAGCTGGGCAGGATGGCTGCTCTGTCCCTGAGTGGCGGCAGGGGAGGTTCCTGGCTGCTCCCCAGCGTGGTGGGAGTCAGCATGGGCTGTCCTCAGTGCAGCCTGGACCCTGCTCAGTGCAGCCTGGACCCTCCTCAGTGCAGCCTGGACCCTCCTCAGTGCAGCATGGACTATCCTCAAGGACTCTGTTCATTCCATGGACCCTGCTCAGTGGCACAGAAGGAGGTGCTGCTCCTTGCCCTGGGCCTGGCTGTGCTCCTGGGCAGCGGGCAGGCTGTGGGTGCAGTGTGTCCTGGGCTGGGCTCAGGTGGGTCAGTGAAGTCCATGGGACCAGCTGAGTCAGCTCTCGGGGATTCTCACTGCAATCATCACCAACTTTGGGGAACCTGTCCTTCACTTCCAGCGTGCCGCTGGCTAAAATGCACAGCCCTGTCTCCAGAGGCACAAGATGCCTTGACCCAGGTAGGTCACTGGAGCTAGGCCACTTTGGGAGCTGTCCTAGGCACGTGCTGCTTGTCAGGGGCACAGCACACTTCTTCCCAGGACTGTTGCAAACAAGGTGCATCTTAAATTGAAACAAAATCTCTTCCCACACTAATTCCTTAATATTTTCAACCAGGTCCTCTTAGCTGGGGATTAACATCTAAATCTCTGGCAGTACATGTTTTTGCAGCATCAGGAGCAGTTTATCTTCCCATGCAGGTGGCATGTCCTCACAGGCAGCACCTTGCCTTCTGGCCTACAGCTTTTGGGAGATTCACAAACTCCCCATCCTACAACACAGTAAGTGCATTTGGCATGTTATTGTTTAACTTTTGCTAGACCCAAACATAGGCATGTAGTTTACTGAATGGCAAACTAAACTGCAGCAATCTAGGGTTTGGCTGTAATTCCTGCCAGTCATTTATTGGATGGCTTTGGTTCTCCTACCACTTTCTCTGCAGTTTGTTTAACTCTAAGCAGTCTGCCATGTATAGGGTGTTGAAGTTTTTAGAGTTTTCTTCTATTACAAATCTTTGCTTTCATGTGCTCCCAAACTTTTGCTACATCTCAGAGGAGGAGGAATCCTTCACTACGTTGTGCCCACCTGAGCTGATGAATTTCCTGTTGTTCAAAAGCACTTATTTATTTTTCTTAAAGCTGCAGCAATAACTGGTGGCAGTATTTGGAAAACATTCTAATCAATTATGAATGTTGTGAAGTATGTCAAAAATTATGAACATCCCATACAACTAAGCCCATACAGTCTGACAGTCTAAAGAAACCAAGAGTCCTTAAGGAGAGAGCCAGATCAGTCACATCTGAGTGCATCCACACAAAGGATACAGGGGCTTGTCCTGTGCTGCTGATGTCTGAAAGCTCCTCTAAGTGCAGGCACTATGATTTACTTCTGGTTTACTTGCCTGGTGTTGGGGGTTGCAGGGGCAGATTGCAGCTGTGAAAATCCCTATCCTTCACACTTTTGAAATTTTGGAGAAGGACGTGGTTTTCCTTTTGATAAGAGGCCTAGAGTGTCTTTAAAAAGACATTTTAAATTGTGTAATTGCTAAACTTAGTAGACTGGTCACCCTGTGTATTTCCACAAGGGACACCTGAGTGGTTTTCATTTGTGAAAATGGTCTCAAAGAATGCTGATAAATGGTACAATAATGTTCCTTACATCTCTCTTTCCTCCTTTCCCCTCATGCATGTGCTGTAGGTATGTTTGGAGTTGCAGGGGCTGTGTGAGGTCCAGCGCAGTAAGTGAATTGTGTCATATTATTATCACTCTTCTGAGAAGCAGGAGTAAAGGAAATACTGAGGGATGTTGTTTATTTTGCTTTCAACAAGCTATGGTAATTTCTTGAGCTGTTCATGTGGCTCTTGCATAAAGAGACTGTACCAGAATGCCTACACCCATCAGACTGTGGGACTTGCCTATAGTGGTCAAATTCCCTGCAGACTCCATGGCAGTGACCCAGGAGCCCATTCCCCCAGCTTCACCAGGGCTCTCCTGCTCTGCAGGGCACCAGCTGCCCGGCCCCAGAGCAAATTAAATGGCCCTAATTAACCGGCACTTGGGTATTTCCAAAGTCTGGCTCAGCTGACTCCTGTTGTGTTTAGAAAAATCTAGGTCAGTGTGAAAAAGAGGCAAAGCAAGACAGCATATTGAGATTCTGAGAAGTTTTTCATCACTCCCTCACAAAATGAGCTACAGCCCTGAAAGCTTTAGAAGTAGTTTTTGAAAATGGGTGGGAGACCTCTCACTGCTTCTGTCCAGGCTCTGCAGTGTTTCTGAGTTGATGCTGCATGTCCTGATCTGCACATCCAGAACTCCCCAACAGAGCTTGATGTGAGCAGTGATTTGCCAGACATGATGACCTGGGTAACCTGACTTTAAGGGGTACACTCATTTACACATATTGTGATTTAAGGGTGAAAATGGATCTGGGTGGTTTCTTTGTTTTCTTCTGCAACAAAGCTACCAAGCAATCACAGCATAAAAGTACTGTTTTAAGTGAGGTGGTTCTGACTTGTATGAAATTATTTCTTTTGATCACCAATGCAGGCCAAATACGTAAATGAACGGGGGTGTTTTTTAATATGTCTAGAAAAAACAGGCACGGCTGCTTTTTAAATTTTCTTGGCATCTACTTTACATTGTTAATATAATGCATACCCAGTCCTGCACTTAGCTTTCATAGCAAGGGTTGTTTTTTATTTCCAATTTGAAATGGATGTTTAAACAGTATTTATTTTTCAGTGCTCTCACCAGCCAAGTTGGCAGAAATATCCATCCTAAAAAACCTTTCTTAATGTCATCTTAGCTTTCTTGGTGATTTACCTTTTTAGAAGAAGCTTAGTAAAAGCTCTTCCTGTATGTTTCATTGGGGTTTTGTTTCAATGGGAAGTGGCATTTTGAAACATTTTTGTTACACTGAATTAATTTGGAAGTATTTTCCTTTGACAAGCAGGGCGGGTTGGGTGCTGATGGGGGTGGTTTGACACCCAGCCCAGCCTTTGGGAACACAGGGTGCACTTCTGTTGCTCTGCCCTTCTGTTGTGGAAAGGACATTTTGATTGCAGTGGAAAGAGTTGCTCTAAGTGATTAAGAATAATCCTTTATTACTAGGACTAGCCTGGAGAAATGCTTCTGCCTGGTGTAACCTGCAGCGTTTCCAGAGAGCCTGTGGAAGCCAGGAATGTGTCTTTGTGAGCTGAGGTGCTGACCTGTATTCATGCTCCTTCTGGCTCTTAAAAATAATTTTGTAACATATTAAGGGTATGTTTATCTCACCGTGCTGCTAAGGGCACTACAAACACTTACTGACAAATGGTATCTCAATATTATTTTCAGTCTTGTCACGCTGTGGGTTTGCTCCTTTTCCTCAAGGCCAGTCAGCATTACCTGTCCCATGCTCCTCAGGTTTGCAGTTGGGATGGCATTGTGAAGCCTCCACAACTTCAGCAAACAGGCATTGGTGCTGTTCACAGCTCTGGGACAGAGGCTGACAGCAAACACGGCTTGGTTTCTGTTTGGGCTTTTATTTTTGGGGGTGTTTTGCGTTTTTTTTTTTAAACAAGTGTTAAAACTGAACTACTGTGAAGCAAAGGCTGGGGAGAGCAAGTGTCTGAAGGTGAATGAATGAATACCTGTGAGTTGCATTTCTAGACTCTTTGGTAAGCAATGCCCAGCAAACTCCACAGAGAAAGCTGCTGAACTCTGTCGTGCTAAACAAAAATCCCAGAGAGGCTTCAAAAATGGGGCTCATGCCAGTGCCTTGTTCTAACTTGGTCATTTTTTTTAAACTAAGGCAGTATGTATTTTTTCTGCTCCAGCTTCCTTGGGCTGCACTGAGGACGCTTTGCCACTGCCCACCTAAAAGGAAGCCTGTCTAATTAGGGGAGTCTGACAGGACGTGGTTAACTTCTCAGAGCTGTGATTTACCTGCAGCCACTGCAGAGCCCAGTGGAAAGGGCTGAGGGTGAGCCTGCCCAGTGCAGCCTGGCCCTGGGAGGGGAAGGCAGTGTAGTCCCAGCAGTGGGACTTTGGAAAGCTGATCCTGCATGTTCTAAGTGTGAACACGGATGCTGGTGTCAAGAAGGTGTCTATGTATTTTATATGGGATTTTATTTCTAATAAATAACAGGATGTATTAAAAACAACTTCTTCACTTTTCAAAAATCTTTATTCCAGGGTCACAGACTAAGACAAAAGGTTACACAGTAAAATGTAGCTCAGGCTCTTGACATTCCTGTTGGATTTCTAGCCGCTAAATGAGTTTCTACTTCTCTATAAAATGTTTAACAGTTTGCCATTAAACAACAAAACCCAAACTACAAACAGACCATTTCAAAACCCTTCAGTTCTTCATGCTTTTAGTACCCACCGAAAGCAAAAACTTTATGTATCTGTGCTTGAATAAGGCTTCCCACATCAAAGTGTTACAGCCTGCAGATACTGCACAAGGCACGAAGTTATTTGTTACCACCTTGTGGAGCCCTTAAAGAACAACCTTTTCTTACCCTTTCTTCCAGAACAGTACCATGGCAAATGGCATGATAAAACTTCTCCCCACACCAGAGTTAGTACTTTAAATAGTTATTCCTTTTAAAAGTGCTAAAACTACACAGGCTAAATTCTTGTTCAAATATTTAAAAGACAGTCTGATGGAAGACTCACTACACATACAGGAAATACTCTTGAGGTGTGCTTATGATGGTCTCTCAACCTTAGGTTTCAGAAGACCAGCAGCTGGGAATCAGTAGTATATTTATTCATTACATCTAATTTCATTCCCAAATATCAATTTCTCAGCTAGGTTTTTGAATGATTTTTTTCTTTGGATAATAAATCACTCTTCAAAAAAGCTGCCTTCAAAACTACTTTATACTATAATAACTCATAACTTAAAGTCTTCATTACAAAGATGAGGTCATGCTGCATGAATTTTAAGGCACTTGTATTAAACCAAGTTAAAGTGCTTCATGTATCCAAGCTCACTGTACCTCAGCCTGAGCTGAGACCTGGTCTTTTCAATGTGCCTGCAGCAGTACAGTGGTCTGTCCTCTGGGGAACAAAGTAAGCAGACAAAACAAAGTGCAAAGAGCAGGCTTTCACAACAATGTCAGTCCCATAGAGAAAATATAGGTAAATTTAAATCCTATTACAAAACACATGCAAGCTGCCTTGTGGATGTAAATAACCCTCCCTGTTGCAGAAGAACAATTCTCCTCATGAAAAGGTAATTTATCAACCACTGCTACCAGCTCTCAGTGACAGAGTATACATGTCAAAATCTGCAGAGGAGCAACTTTTGGCTTCTTGCCTAACAAATAGGATTAAAATTTGTCAGTGCCAAGACTGAAGTTATGATTTTCTACTGAACTATCCACAGGGCTCTGTGAATTTTAGTTGCGTTGCTTAGTAAGAGGAGAGTTGCTTGGGTAGGAGGGCACTGCATCATGCAGCAGGAATGTAATTTAGCTAATTTCAGCACCTAGATACATATGTGGAGGTCTTTTCAGAAAAATGAGATGAAGTATGTGAGAAGTGACTTCTTTCATTGTCTTCTAGTACTGCTTCTTGTCTGCAGGCTTGTAAGACACCAGGAGACCGAAGGAAGCATATCCAAATAACAGGGTCTGAACAAACCACTGAAACTGAATAGCCGGGTCGGTGATTCCTTTAGCTCTGTAACAAAAACACAAAATGTGTCACAAGACTCGGCTCCTGCAGGCTGCACTGCTACTTATAAAGTAAGGTAAGCTATCTCTAGCTTTCCTTGAGATTCAGACAGGATTAGAACATTTCAGTTCAGCACATTAGTTTCCATACTGAGACATTCCTTGTGCTAACTAAACATACCATTTCTTCTGGGTTTAGGATTTTGAGCTATTTATTGAACAAAAGACATTCTATGAATACAATTTCCTCAACAATATATAAATTGCAATCTCCATCTGTCCTATTTGAAATTACTTATCCCAGAAGTTTGTGTGCAAAGAAGCAAGAAACTGGAGTAGCTTAATACTTAATATACAAGTCTGAATATAACTTCTTGCTGTGTTAGTCAAGGAAGACTTTATGCTGGCAGGGCAGAGACCTGACAATGACTGTGTGATGGGGCATGGAGAAACACTGGTACCTGAGTTTGTGGCTAGACAAAGACAGGTAATAGGGCTGAAGGCACTTCACTTAATTTATGAAGAAGAGACCTTCCTATGTTAGTTAGTTTCAATATAACATATATGACTTTTTCTGTATGTTACAGAAAATGTCATTTTCTCCTCCACTGTTCTTGAGAAGTACTCCTACTGAAAGGAACAAGTATAAACACAACAGCAAACTAGGGGGTTTCACACTTCCTGTAAACAATTATATAGCTGTGGGTTTTTTTGTTTATAATCCCAGCTGCAGTGTTTTCAAATTAGTGCAAAACCTGGAGAACAAGGGCTTAAGAAATTTACCTGTTGCTACAAGACAAGCTTAATGAATAGACCATGTGCAGCAATACAGGCCAAGAGCCAATGACAATACTACTGCTGATTAACAAATTTGTATCTGAGTCCTCAGTGTTCTTTGTGCCTCCTTTGCAATGTTGCCAAGTAGACATAACTTTGATATAAGTAAAAATAAATGGTGTTTGGTGCTCACAGAAGTACAGCTGTTAGGTAATCTAAGCAGCACTCCTGATGAGATGATCATGGGTAGGCCACCTCTGCCTTTTTTTTTTTTTTTAGTGGGTTTTAACACTACTCTGTAAAACTTCATTAGTAAAATTAATTACAATATACTCATTTGGTATGCTTACTGGTAGTCAAGTTTCCTCATACTTGAAAGAATTGCCTTAGGCCCTGATACCCATTTATTTGCACACTCAGACTCAAAATGAGTCTGCTAAACACTAAATTTTTACTAACTCTCATTCTGAAAGCAGAAATTAATAATCCATATTTTACTATCTTTAAAAAAAAACCAAACCAACTTATGCAGTGTTCCATGAAACGAAATCCTGTTGTTTCCAAGAGCTGTAACCTGAGAAGCCTGGGGCAGACAGCAGTGAAGACCCAAATGAAGTGGAAACCCATCATGGCAAACAGACTGGCCTGACTGTGGCCAGACTGGCCTGACTGCAGAGCATGAGAACCTAATGACAACCTACAGAAGGATGATGTGTTTGGACAGCACTCCTTTCCAGGTACATTGATATCCTAACCTAGGACTTAGATGGCCTTGCTTGTATGACTACTTCAAGTATTTTATCCCAGGGACCTGCAGATGCAAGTAGATCTGCAAGAGTCCCCAGATGAAAGTGCCCAGTTGTGGCCTGACTGCAGAGCATGAGAACCTAATGACAACCTACAGAAGGATGATGTGTTTGGACAGCACTCCTTTCCAGGTACATTGATATCCTAACCTAGGACTTAGATGGCCTTGCTTCAAGTATATGACTACTTCAAGTATTTTATCCCAGGGACCTGCAGATGCAAGTAGATCTGCAAGAGTCCCCAGATGAAAGTGCGTTCCCACAATACAAGTGTGATTGTTTAAGCGTGTGATTAGCAGTATTGCAATCCTGATGAGGAAAGATCTGATAAAATTCTAACACCTGAAGTTATCAGACTATTTCTACACTGTCTGTTACTCCCTCTGCCTCCTGAGCAGCAGTGGTACCCAGTGAGCAGGGAGTTCAGGGGCTGCCAGACAATCTCTGGCAAACCTTGCTGCTGCCACTTGTGCAAGTTGCCAGCCCTTGGTTTTGCTGCCCTGCACAACAGTAACCACTGGGAGAATTGCCAGAAACCAACAGCACACTACCACTGCAGCAAGAATTTCACCAGCATCCTCTGAATTCACTGCTGCTGAGAGCCACCACAATGAGTCTGTTGCTTATGTTACTTGAGTCAGAAATCCTTTGCAGAAAAATGATGTTGGAGTGAGAGGAGGAAACAACTTACTGGCATAACTTAATACCGTAGAGGGCTTCCACTATGTGAATCAACCAGGATACCCAGAACCTGGTGGAAAGAAAACATGGTTTATTTTGCTGAAAATTAGGGAGAAACTGTTGTATCCAAGATGCATTATGCAGAGAATACAAATCTGGAAGCATTGAAGCGACAACTGATTTTAACCTAGAAAGGAAGGGGTGTTTTTCATCTTGGAAAAACCCCACAAGTGTAACTTAAAAGTAACTGAAGGCCACTGAGAAAATCAGAGCAACTGTAACTTGTGCAATAAGCCTTGACCTGCTATTTGGAGCATCCACTAGGCTTCCAAAATTTTCAGCACTTAGATTAAGCCAAAAGCCAAACACTTAGTGAAAGCAGTACAAGTTAATCTTAGTTAAGCATGCAAAATCTATCCTTTTACTTACACAAGTATTTTTAGTGGTCCTAAAGAGCTACTTAAGTTTTTACAGATTTAGTTCTATGAAAACAACTGTGTGTATACATTCAGAATATAAAATGTGTAGGCACGTTTGGCCTACACATTTTTATATAGAAGCTTTTGTAGGAAAAAAAAGACAGGATATTCAGTTAGAATCAATTCAATACCTTGCTAAAGCAGAAGATGCTCTAAGAAAATATGAAGGTTCTGCATGATGGTAAAATAAACAAGAAAGCCCTACTGATTTCTGTCTTTACAGGAAGTCAGTGAGCTCAAGGAAATATTTTCGGCTCTTTTGGTAATTACAGTAGCAAAAACTAAATTTTGTAACCCGGCAAAACTTAGCACTATGCAGTTTGTTCAGCAGATTATTTCTCATGTAGATCAGAAGTGAGTACCAGGGAAGAAAATGTTCTTGAATTCAAGCTGGATAAAAAAAGATTCTTAAAGAAAGAACTGGACTGCTTGAGTAACAACTAGAGAAGAAAAACACTTGCGGTAGATGGTACAAGCATAACTTTGCACTAATAACTGTCATCAAAAGTAGTATCTTAACATTCCTCCCTTTCTTGTTAAACCATCAGTATGCCAAATTCAAAGTTGAATTTTTGAACTATCAAACTGGTCTTAGCCTGTCTAGTCCTCTACATACTTATTACCCCACACCCTTAATTGTAATGAGCTTGAAAGGAGAGCTCTTTAAATCTAATTAACAACTGGGTTACAGGAAAGCTTGTTAACACAGACTAAGAGTCAGAGAGAGGCAAAATAATTACACAGTCAAATATAACTTACCCGTAGCATACCCATTTGTGGTGGTGTTCCACCAAATAATTAAGGAAGGTACCAAATAATCCCAAGTAACTATAAGGTATAGTTGAAGGCCAAAGCGTTACCCACTGAAAAAAAAAACAAAAAAACAAGTTATCTTACTTCAAGGTAGAAACTATAAGGTATAGTTGAAGGCCAAAGCGTTACCCACTGAAAAAAAAAAAACAACAAGTTATCTTACTTCAAGGTAGAGGTACTATCAATTTAACCTTCAAAATAGCTTTATTTTTGAGCCCCATGAGTTCAGAGCTCATTTATTCATAGTACTTAAATTCTTTCATTCCATTAACCTTGTCCAAGGACCATATTCTTCCAGTAGCCTTTGAAAGATTCCAACTAGGAAATTTTTATTCCTTGACATATCAGATGCCAAGGGGATAAGTTTAAGGTTGCTGTCTGGGGACCAAGAGTGCATCTGCACGTTAAGTGGTATTTAAGTTGTAAGCTCATTACCTATTAGACATGGAAGCTGCAAAACCTACATTGTCTTTGTCCTGAAGAAGTTAATCTGAGGCAAGTGACCTGAGGAGACCAAACAATGAATACACTGTTTAGGAGGAATAACTATCTAAAACTAGGGGATTAGTCTTTCTTCTTTCATCCCCTAAAAAAGGAAATGTCAGATTTTTGTTTATTTTTAACAGGGCGCAGAAGAAAACCGAGCACGAATCCCAAGACCAGAGATGCAGAATTTCTTTCCCGGTTTCCTTCCTGTCACAGAGCTGTCTGGAATGTTTAGCACTGTGCACCCTGATTTTCACAAACCGGGAGAAGCAGGCAGTGAGCGATGAGCTGTGCACTTCAGAGGCCACTGGGGACCACGGTGAGAGCTAGGCCAGAGTTCACCCTGCCTTATCTTGGTTCTGCTATCAACACTGCAGCTTCTCACTAGACGTAAATTTAGCTTTGCCAAAAATGCAAGGTGATGGGTTTAAACAGGGAATCTGCTTAAAGCTCGCTCTGTTTCTTGAAACAGCCCAAAAACTGTTTTGTGAGTGACTTGACGTGCCTCGACTATCATTTTTACAGTGGTGATTCTTAAATTCAGAAAAATCGGTGCAAACAGAAAGAAAATCACAACACATGAAAGTCAAGAGACGACTTTGATAAACTGGTCAGATACATCAAAAAGCCATTAATATCCCGGCTCCAGTAATCCAACCTAACTTAGCTGAAGTCTGCTTTTGGAAATGAAGACAACGCGGTGACTGAACTCGTGTGTTTTCCAACGCCACCAGTTCGTACAGGCTGTGCTGATGCCCAGTGCCTCGACTCGCCGCGCTGGGATGCCGCGGCCCTTTCCCAGGGCACTGCCCGCAAACCCTCGCTCGGTGCCGTGCCCCGGGACGCTCCAGCGCCACGGCCTCGCTTCCCTTCCAGACCAGCTGGGTTCTCCCTCACTCCGGCCTTCCTGCAGGCTCCGTCCAGCCTCCTCCCTGCCCGGCCAAAGCAGCACCTCTAGTTTCCTTTTTCTCCCCGTTTATTTTAGGGAGCGGCGTTTCCGCGGACACGGGACGGTGCAGGGAACCTGTTCCACGCACCCCGGCTTTCTGACCCATCTCCTTCCCTCCCTCCCCGCGCCGCTCCTTACGCCGAGGAGGATCATGCCCAAGATGATGGCGACCATCCAGATGAGCCGGGAACGCTGGAAGTGGCAGCTGCCATCGCGGCCGCGCTCCGCCGCCGCCGCCGCCATGCCAGCGAGCGCCCTCTCGCGGCACGGCGCGGGGCCGCGGGCGGAGGCGGCTGAGGGCTGTGCCCGGTGCCCCCGCAGGGCCTGGGGCCGTCCCGGGGACACGGGTGTCCCTGCCGCAGCACGGCCCGGCTCGCAGCCTGCACTGGCGCTCGCTCCTGGGGTAAAATAAATATCTATTGACCTTCCTGCCGCTGAGCAGTCGTTACCTAGAACAATACAGAGTACCTTCCCTTTCCAAAACTGGCCATTCAAAGCGTATTAAGTCCAGCGTTTTCTATTCTGTGCCCTTTTGGGAATGTGGTCTCGGTGATGAGTCACCGCGGCCTTGGGAAAGGTGCTCAGGGCTAGAAATGTTGGGTGGGTTGGGCAGGTTTATGCTTTCCTTTGAGCTTTGCGACCTGTTTGCTCGGCATGACTGAGAGTGCATACACACTGTGAAATGTTGGCTGTGCTCTTGTTTCTCCTTGCAGGAAGGCTAAAGCGGCTGCTCTGATAATTACGTGTTAATGACATGCCTATGGTTTCCTCCGCCCTTTTCTTTTTTTCCTCCTTTTTTTGGGGTGTTCTTTGGAGATTACAAGAGAGTTTGGTAAAAAATCCTGCTGTGGTAAAACTGCTGGGAATCCCATCTACAAAACCCACTGAGGTTGTGGACTTACGCCTGATTAATAAATGTCACTGTGTTGCTTTGCTGATGCAGGAGAGAAGAGTGTGTGGCCCCACTTACGTCTTGGTATCTGGGAGAAATTTCTGAAATTAAACTTTTTGTGGTATTTTTTTGGGGTTTTTTTGTTTTGGTTTTTTTTTTCTCCCCCGTTTGTTTGGTTTGCTTTGCTTTGGTTTGTTTTTTTTTGGGTTTTTTTTTTTTTTGTTTTGGTTTTTTTTTTCTCCCGCGTTTGTTTGGTTTGCTTTGCTTTGGTTTGTTTTTTAGTAGCCCATTTGTTAATTTCTTCCTCCTTAGAACATTGTACACAATTGCTTCTGCCATGTACACATAATGCCGTGCCCAGAGGTGGAGCTGAGATCCTGATCCGGGCCGAGCTTTGTGGTAGGAGAGCCCGGGACTGGCCCGCACAAGGAGAGCCCACCTCGTCCCGCACCAGAACCATCCCCGCGGTCACAGCAAGGCCGTGCTCGGGAACGCAGTCCAAAAGCGGCTCAGGCTGCGGGGCTGCACTGCAGGGCTGCACTGGACGCACTGCACTTCTGCACTGCACGGCTGCACTGCAGGGCTGCGCTGCAGGGCTGCGCTGCACGGCTGCACTGCAGGGCTGCTGCGCTGCGGTGACTGCAGAGGGCGGTGCATGCACAGCAGAGGCACGGGCTGCCTCTTTAGACTGGCCTTGGTGACGGTCAGACCGTGTCGTGTCACCCGTACTGTCGCACTCCTGTGAGGACTGCCCGCACCGTGGGCAGAGGACAGGGAGCTGCCTTACTTTTGTTTCTCTGTTGCAAAAAATAATTGATATATATATTTTATTAGGTGATACTCTTCCCATGGGGCAGCAGCCCCACTCGCTGCCGGCCCTGTTGTCTGCCATGGGCAGCTCTACCAGCCCTGGCATCTCAGCAGCCTTGGACCTGAATGTGAAATAGTTCATGGAGCCAACTCCGCGCTCAGGCCTTTCTTGGGGACATTCAGAGATTCCATTTCTGATATGGGACAGTGTCTTTGGCCTGACTTGTTAAAACAGACTATTTCTCTTGACAAAGAGAGGAGTCTTTAGAGTATTTAAGAAGCTGAATAGAATTCCAGTTTTAATAATTTAAAGCCAGAAGACCTGTAGCATCATCTAGTCTGGCCAGCACACACCGATAAATATTACCTTGTTTCTCTGAATAGAGGTCAGTGACTTGCACTTACAGGATAAGTTTCAAGGGGCATTTTGTCTTACCTTGAAGGTGTCATAAAACAGAAAGTCCACAGCTTCCAGTGATTAATCTTTCTTGTGTTTCTTAGGTGTTAGATATATCTGATGGCTAATTTTGAGGGAGTAATTCCCCAGAGTAGCTGAAAAGCTTGCTCTATCATATTTTGTGAAGTTTTGCAATTGTGCCCTCATATTTTTTGACAGATTAGTTATCTTTGTGGCTTCAGCATTGGAAAAGTTATTTGTCAATGAATTGCATTTATTGACAGCTATAATCTAAACTGGAAACAACAAATCCCAAACACTGTTATGTGAATTATTGAAAAAATGCAGAACAAATTCACTTTGCTGAGTTTACAGAAAATAAAGCTATTTTACCATAACTTCTAAGATTTCAACTTTGAAAACTGTTGCCTTTTCAGTTTAGAAACATTTGCTATCTCTAACTTAGAGATATTGGCTATCTCACTTCCATCGGGAAGTACAAAGGGTATTTGCCAGGTAGTCGGCCTCTTTTGTTTGGTGTTCTTGGTGGATGCCAGAGAATAGATAGAGACACGTTAGCTCTTCTCTGTCTTTTAAAATTCCTTTAAAAAAGAGGGGGAGGAGGGAGGATTAGTCAAATTCAGAACGAATTTTGTGGTATGAGTCATCATGCTAGAGTCAGTGAGGTGACTTCTTCAAACAGCAACTTTCTTTATAAATCAGGATTTAGGGATTGGGCTTTTCTTAGGAAGTTACTTGGAAATAAACTGGAGCCTATTTTAAACTGGATTTGAAGCTGGTATAAAAGAGATGGGATGCATTCAGGGAAAGTCACCTAAGGAAATAGAATTATCAACAGGACTTATTTTTTAAATCAGAGCTAAATGGCACAGTGCTACAGTGAAACCACTGCAAGCAATGTCTGGTTCCTAATGTAACTAATTAACCTGGCATTTTTAATTTTTAGTGGGGACTCAGAACAGTATCACCTTAGTTGTTTAGTTCTAAGACTAGAGAAGCTAAGGAAAAGTATGGTCTTTTAAAATATTTTGTGTTGCAGTTTGACAAGTATTAAATTCTTAGGTTAATGGACAAGATTTTCAACAGAGTCCAATACTTACAGGAAATGTTGAGTGTAATGAGATGTGCATAATAGGAAACAATGTGCTATAGCAATTCTGTTTGATACTGTGGTGAATAGCCTTTGCAGCTTGGAGTGAGTTAACCTTTGCATGTGTCTGCTGCATCCTTCTCATTTCTCATTGGATTCATTGGATGTTTGATAAAACTACTTCTCTTCTATCACATTTTAAACACAATTATGAGCAGAATTCAAGTCTTGGAGATTGTGAGCTACAAAGGTTCCAGCTAAATACTTTATTCTTTGCAAATATTAATAACTAGGTTACAGCTGTAAGTTATAAACATATTAAATTCTCGTTGATTTTACTACAAATTCAGTTTGTTCATTTAGAGGTGAATTTATGTCAGAGTTCCATATGCTCATCATAACAATATCACTGTGGATTTCTTTTCTCTTAAAAAAGAGGAAGAGGAAGGTGAAACAGCCACCTTTATCATGATGTGTTTCAACCAACATTACCTTAATAAGCCTTTGTAGAGACAGTCAAAACTCACCAGTTTGAAGTCCAGGTTGCACAGAGAGCTTCATTTTTTACCACAGCTCTGCAGTTTACAGTTCTCTACTTGTTTTTACCCAAATCTGCTGGAAGTCAGTAACTTGAGTCCAACTAAAAATATTTTGTGGACATCTCTGATGTCTTTTTTGATTATGTGAGGTAGGTTTAAAAAATGAAATATTAACAAGTAACATCCATTTGAAATGTCAGTTTATAAATGTTGGATTTATGCTACATGGATCTGGTGGAATTTTAAAAATTGGATATGAACTACAAGAATTTTACAAGATTTTTTTGAAGGTATGAGAGCAAAGAAAGATTTTATGTCATTTGGGGGGGTATTAAATAAAACTGAATGTACTTTGCAAGGATAGATTGTGACAGACAGCCTTATTCATATTGGTCATGTTGGAAAACCCTGAGCAGCTTAGACTATTCAAAAACATATTTCAAACAGGTCCAGTGCCCTGACTCTGCACAGCAGCGTCCTACAGCACATACACTGGTCATAACAGGAGGAAGGAGTCCATCTCCAGCAAACCCTCAGCATTTTGATGCCTTGTTGTGGCCTTGAACCACTTCATGACAGTGCATGTGTATTTTAATACACAGTGTTTGGAATCTGATACTATTTCTTCCTTCTCTCTGAAGGAATTCCTAACTATTACTGCTTCCTACTGGGAAAGACACTGCCTTATGTTGTGGTGTGGCAGTAAACAGAGTGCAGTGTTGAGAAAAGGAAAGGCTTCTATTTAGTTTACTGTTCTTGAGGGTCCATTGGGACCAACTAATGGATCTTTTCTGTGCTTCTCAGTTAATGAACAAGTCATATCAATTGACACAGTTTTATAGTCCTGAATATTGTTTCCTATGTGTCTGGAATAGGAATATTGTGATGGAAAAATCAAATGCAGTAGAAAATAGCCAGCACAGATCTAGCAAAGAAATGGGGTCACTCCCTAGCAGATGGGTGAGATAGGTGGGAAGCATGTTTTACTACAGCCACATGGGTGGGGATGTTATTTGGGAGATGAGGAGGAATAGGATTGACAAGGAAGGTTAGAGCAATAGTTCTTTAAACAGGGAGGAGAAGACTCCAGACAACTTGTCTCCAGTCCCAGCAGACTAGCCTTAAGGCCAAATTCACTCGTCTTTAGGTGACTAGTTATCATAATCAAGTTTGGCAGACTACCATGTTGAGATCTGTTGTATTTCTGTAGTATCATGTGCTGTTCTTGTATTCTGTCAGCACAAGAAAAAGATAGTCATTTTCCTAAAACATCTGCAGTTCAGAGGTCTGATCCTCTCAGGTCTAAGAGTCCAGCAGTGCTTCTGGAGCTGATCAGTCACAGGATATATCTGCAGTTACATGAACAGCACGGGTGAGAACGATGACAGATGCTTTCTCAGAAAGGAAAGGAGACAGGGGAGGAGATGGCACAGAGTACAGGGAAAAGGATTACCATAAAATAAGGTAGCCTGTGAGCCTGACTGTACTGGGCATGAAATACCATGACATTTAAAGGAAATCTTATTTACCTCAGTGTTGCTGCAGCAAGCGAGGCCTGGCCAGACTGAATTGTGCTCAGTAACCCTCTGGAGGCCCAGGCTGGATTTCTGGAGGATATTTCATCCACAATTTTTTAATGTTTCCTGAGGCAGGGTTTTACTGACCACAGGTTTCCTACTGCATGGCTGTGTGGCTTTTCTGCTGTGTGTTCAACGGGGTCAAGAACACTGATAATCTGTTCTTTAGGCTGATTGAACAGGGAAATCCTACTCCAGCCTATTCCTGCACTGGTGCGGATTCTGCTCTGCGGATTTGTCCTTCCCTGTGGTCATCCTAACCCTTTACAGACTCAGGCTCAGCCTGTCCAAATTGCACATCAGTGTTCTGTGTGGCTGTGGGAGGCAGGTCTGTCCCACAGAACACAGATTTTTCCTCCACCAGAGCAGGAGACATTGTATTGCATGAGGCTGGGGGCAGTGATCACCACTTTCCTAGCTATCCTATATCCATCTTCCAAGACTTTTTTCCACTTCCCAGAAAAAAATGAACAGTGTTGGGCACTGCTGGGCTACCACTTAATAAAATACACAATTTTTACAAATACTTCAGCTTTGGTATGATCTAGGGTCTTACTTCCTTTAAAATTTAAGGCAGCCTTCTCTTTGACAGAGATGACAATTTCTTTCAAGACTGCCACAGGACTCAAAAATTCACCAGTAGGCAGCATAGTGACAGTACAAGTAAGGAACTGTTTTCAGGTCTCACAGCAGATTACCATTACAACACAGAAATGAGATTTTGGAGTTTGATAGATAATTCTATGAGAATGCAAGTTCAGTGAGGGTCAAAGAGACAACAGAAATGTTAACTGTTAGAAAAGCACTGGAAAAAAACCTGCACGTTACCTTCATAATAGTTAAAACATCATTATTCCTCTACATCTTAAATTCTGCAAGTCACTCTATCTTCTTTTTTCATGAAGGACACAGCATAACCAGAAAAAGCTCTGGAAAAGACAATGTGAATGACAAAGGCATGGAGCAGCTAGCATAAATAAGATGGGATTCTTCGGTCTGGAAAGGAGGTGGCTGAAGGTGAAGAGAGAACCAGAAAAAGCTCTGGAAAAGACAATGTGAATGACAAAGGCATGGAGCAGCTAGCATGAATAAGGTGGGATTCTTCGGTCTGGAAAGGACGTGGCTGAAGGTGGAGATTGAAGGGGTTTTATGAAAAAATTATTCCAGCAGTGTGAACTGCTGGAACCAGTGAAGGTCACTCCACGTTCTTGGGTGGGCAACAAGCACCAAATGATTTTAGCAAGTTACATGTTCAGTACACAGAAAACTAAGTGTTTCATGTGGTATGTCCTAGTGAGAGGATGCTCTAGAAGCTAAAAATTTACATACATTCAGAGAAAGACTGAATAAATTCACAAAATAGAAACTCTGGGCTGAAAATGACCGAGGTTTTCATCATAATTTCTAAGTAAAAGTACCAGTATGCCATTTACTGAGCTGGTTATAGATTCCTACCCTCCTGTGGCAGGTATCTAATTTTTGTCACTGGTGAAGAGTTAAATATCAGGTGAAACAGACATTCAGTCTTGTAGGTAGGAGCTTTTTTTATCACCACCCTGGATTTCAGAGCATTACAATCAGTGACAAAAACTATTTAAATTATTTCTTATATTTATTTAAATATAAGAAATACTGAAGTGTAACATTATTCCAAGTTATCTGAAATGGGCCTAATGCATTTTTCATCTTGAAATCTATAGATTTTTCTGTGAACTAGAGCAAGACTGGTATGTCCCAAAAGTACACGGTGTTCTCAGCGATATTTTTCCCCCCACCTTCAAGCATTAGAAGCAACATTTATTTCTGGTAGGAGAAAAGTCTAGAGCAATGCTTTGGCATAAAAAAGGTGTTTACTGTTAGGAAAAGCTCAGTGTAGGTGACAGCTCTCTCAAGAGCCAGTTCTGGACTGGGGAATGAATACTCTTGAAAAGCAAGGATTGTCATAAATTTTGCCTTCTTTTTGCTCACGGTGCAAAATGTGCCTCCATGCTGCTCATCCTGCTGGCACCCCAGGCAATTGGACATGTCCGGACACTGAACTACTTTTCAAAGCAAGTGGGGCTGCTGGGAGTGCTCCTTTCCCTGAGGAACAGAGGACAGCACAACCATCACTTGTCTGCTCATGTTCTCTGGAGGGTTCCTGGGTGCCCCTGGCCATGAGAGTACTGCTCATGCCATGAAGTCTTTGTGAATGAGAATCCATGTCCCTTTGCTGAATTCCACCGTTTTCCATTTGAACATAAAATCTCTTTGCAGTTCTCCTGAGTTGCTTTCTGGCATTTTTATTTCAACGATGTAAGAGCTGCCTGTTACTGCCAAGCCCATAATTAAAGCAGTGTTGACTGGTAAGTAATGGGCTGCAAAAGGCGTACCAAAAGATAATTAAAGACACATTCCAGATAAGCAGGGCATGAGCATCCTTTTTATGAGGTGTTAATGTCTGAAGACCAACTAGTGAAATTGAGCTTGCCTCCTTCGAGCTGAAAGTTCTGCTCAAACATCAATAGCTTTGTACTGCGCTAGAAAATGTTTGATGTAGGGATTTCTGCAGGGCGCTTTTCCTAAGACTCCCCAGGCAGGCGCCTGGTGACAGAGCCCTGCTGCCCTGGGTGATTCAGCATACCGTTCGTGCTGCCATGACTTTGGGGCCACCAAAGCTCCCGACATGAGGGCTGCTCTGGAGGGAGAGAACAGAGCTGCTTCCAGCGCCCTGCATAGGATTGGTGCAAACCCTTTTTCAAGAGCCATTTTAAAGAGTGCCGAGGCTAGTCCGTATCTAATAATCACGTTGTTGCTCCTAAATACACTTCACTTACGTATCCTTCCTTTCTGTTCTATTCTCAGCATATCCCACCTGTGATTTGGATTCCTCTATAGCTGCACTTGTATCACAAAGGGCATAAAGGAACCCCGGCAGAATGGGTTTTCACATTTGGACTCTACTTAAATTTGTAGCAAAATTCCGTGGAACTTTGTGGAAGTCTGAAGACAATCTATGAACCAAATATATGCTGGTTTTGTTAAGCATGCTGCTTTGGGTATTCCTGCTTCTTTTCCCATGCTTCTCCCATTTCTCTATTTGTGAAATGAATCAAAAGTAGGGGTCAGAATACTATTTTCGTGATGGAATTCAGAGAGGAGATGCAGGAGCTGACAAACAGTTCTTTTGATTATTACTGGCATGCAACAGCATGAGGATGCCAAGGGAACATGGGCAGCAAGGGCTGGTCACTGTTCTTTATTAGTGTATGGTCAAACTGCAGCTGTGGCAGAAATTAACTCTTATGTCAGGCCAAGTCCATATGCCTCGGCAGAAAAGGAGGAAAAGGAGGGGGAGGCAACGATTGTCATCTTCTTTCCTGGAATCTGACTTAAAAACAAAACTAGCAATCTCTATCGATTAGCATTGCAAAGAAAATCTCTGAAAATGAAGGGTGTAAAGAGGCTGCCTGGCAGAGCTCCTCAAACAATAACTCCGGGAAGTGTGAACTGCTCTCTCTATGCTAGGGGATGTTAACAAAAGCTGTTCTATTTGAGCCGAGCTAGTAGTGATGGACGTCACTGTTAGCAAGCAGTGCAAGTCTGTGCAAGCCTCTGCTGGCTCCTTCTTATCTCTTCTGCACTGGCTGTGTCTATAAGGTGTGTATGTGTGTGTTGGAAGAGGTGGTTTCCCTCTTCTTTTGAGCTCAATATTGCAGGATGCCTACAGGGGCAGCTTTGTGCTATAGTCGGTCCATTGAGATGATATTTTCTGCCATGAAAACTGGAAATCCAGAAAGAAAATTTTGAGGATTTGTTTCAGCATTCCCTCTGTCCAGACTGAATAAGTAATCTCTCTTTGTACCCTGCAAGCATCCTCGGTATCCTTGATCCAGTGTAGCATGCACCCCATGGACAATTGTATTGGAATTGCAGAGAGCTGGAAAGGTCACATGCAATTCCATACTTTATTGTGCTAGTTCAAATTGAGACTCCCTGATTCTCTCTTACCCTTTGCTCCTGTGTATCCCTGTCCCATGCTGACGCTTGTATTAAGTTCACCAAAAACTGAACTGGCCAAAAAAAAAAGGTAATCAGCTTTTTTTGAAGGAGCAGCTGCACAAACTTTGCTGGCTCAGAGTGCACTGGACATGGCTTGTGCACGACTGGGTGCAAAGCCCCATGAGGACTTCATGGCAGCTAGAGGTGAAGCCTGCATGTTTAAAATGAGAATTAAACAGCTGAAACTGAATTTGCTGTCGTGAACACTGTCAATAAAACTATGTCCCAAGCTTTATAAGTCTGCTTATTGTATCTGAGCACTCAGATACATATGTACTTCTGCTTGAATATATTATTTAGGCTTAGTGAGGGCATGTACCTTGTCTTATGGACTGAGCTGCTGAAGCAATCCAGTCTCCGGAGTACCAGACTCACAGGAGTCATCCCTGACTGTCACCTCTGTGTGGAAGGACATTAATTTTTTGTTGTGAAGCACTGTGGTGGTGTGTGTAATGTTAAAACCCTTGTGCAGCTCAACCCAGAAGTGGCAGCATGGATGATGGGTGCACTGGTCCCTGCAGAATGCAAACAGTGTGTACCAGCTCACACACACTTTGTCCCTGTACCCTTCAGATTCACAGCAAGCTGGAGTAGGTCCCAAGTCTGAAAAATGAACGGGGACAAGTTGAGATGAAAAACAAATGATATAATGATGCTGCTGTTCTTGAACACCTTCAGTGACAGCCATTAGTGGCCTCATTTGACAAATTATTACATTAATTGATTTGCTTCTCTTCTAACATCTAATCCTGTTCAGTGTTGCAACTGTTGCTCCCTGTAAGTCCCTTATGTCACTCTTGGCTCTCTTAAATGATATTTCTGGCCACTCTTTTGAATTAATATGCTGTTCATGATTTCACCTTGGGCTGATAGCACAGACCTTGCTTGTTCTGTACCTGACTTGGATGAGCAGAGCTGTCTAGAGGGAAAGAAAGCTGCCCCAGGAAAGGGAAACCTTTGCTGAGCTCTTCAGCATGCACTCCGGAGGGAGACTGCTCCGTCTGACCTGGGTGACCCGAGTGTGCTGAGGGAAGCTTTGTCCTTTGCTGTGAATATTGGGTGTTGATGCAACGTCTAGTAAAGCCACCAGCAGTTTATTTCCTGCAGTAAAGCTGATGAGAAATGTCCCGTGGATGGGAATAGGAGCAGGGTAACCAAATGGGGAAGACAAGGACTTGTCACCTGGGTGCAGTAAGCTCTGGAATGGCTTGCCTTTAGGAGAAGGGTGGTACAGAGGCCTCCTTGCATTGGGGGAGCACCGGGTTTCCAGCAGAACTCCAGGCCTGCAGTGCAGAGAGAAGGGGAGCTCCCTTCATTAGTTTATTTATTATTTATAATAAAGAAATCAAGGGATTTCTTCATTAAATTATTTGCTCCCCATTTGAATTAAAGAACGGTGGATGGGTTGGTGGCAGCAGCGGGGACTTCGCTGGGAGACACTTTGGCTCCTTAGATGGGGCGAGCCCTCATTATGTGTATTTTGGTGATGGGATGACAATGGAGGTGTGGGAGACTGCTCTGAGTCACCATCGGAGCCGCAGAGGGGCCGGGCCGGGTGGGTGGGGGTCGCTAAAGGCCGGGTGGAGGCTTTTAAGGCACGGAACTGCCCGTGCCGTTACACCGCCCGCAGACCTCGGCCCGCATGGAGCTCGCCAGCCTCCCCTCGGCCAGCCTGGCCCCCAGCCCCGGACCCGCCGGTGAGCCGCGCCGGGCGGGCAGGAGCCGGGGGTCTTGGGGGCCGTGGTGGCGGTGGCTGTATTGGTGGCGGTGTTGGTGGTGGCGGTGTTGGTGGTAGCTGTGTTGGTGGCGGTGTTGGTGGTGGCGGTGTTGGTGGCGGCCTTGGGGCAGGAGCACGCTGCCGGGTCCCGCTGACCGCCGCTGCCCGTTCTCTCCCCGCAGGCGAGCCCCGGGCGCGCCCCGCCGGCCCCAGCTCGGGGCGGGAGGGCGGCCGGCGCAAGAGAACCACCTTCAGCAAGGGGCAGCTGGAGCTGCTGGTCCGCGCCTTCGAGAAGGAGCCGTACCCCGGCATCGCCCTGCGGGAGCAGCTCTCCAGCCTCACCAACATCCCCGAGTCCCGCATCCAGGTGAGAGGGGCGGTCCGGGCGGGGAGGACGGGCGGGTGGCGGAGCGGCTTCCCCGGCGGCTCGGGTGCTCAGTCTCTGCCGGTCCCGCAGGTGTGGTTCCAGAACCGGAGAGCCCGGCAGCTAAACCACAAGAAGTGCGAGGCCGCCGCCTACGCCAGGCCGAGCAAGCCGAAGCCGCCCCGGTGCGCTGGCCAGGAGCTCCCCCGGGCGCAGCAGGGCCCGGGGACGGAGCGGAGCCTCCTCTGCCCGCAGCCCGGCCTGCCAGGAGGGAGCCAGAGCTTCGGTGGTCAGCCGCCGTTCTACTCGGGGCAGCTGTACTCAAGGCTCGACATGCATTTCAGGAGCTTGGATAACACTTTTGGAGCGCTGGGTCAGAGCCCAGCTGACTTCGGTTTGGACTGTTCGGGAAGAGGGCTCCCATCAGGTGCGGGAAGCGTGGGGAGTGCCCCTCCGTTCTCGCTCCCTGTGCAGCAGGCACAGGAGTATCCGCACCTGAAGAAATCCTTTCCTGAAGGCTGCTACTCAGATGCAGATGTTTTCCAGCCTTGTACAGATCACCAGTACCCAGCGGCTAAGGAGAACACGTACAGGAAGCCTGTCTTAAACTACTGCAGTGCTAACCAGGGCCTGGGTGTTGAGAACTGTTTGTATGCCAAGTCAAGCACTTCTCCCTTTGGGAAGGGCTCCACTTTCAGTTTTGATGGGGGGGAACCTAAGCCTGAGCCCGAGCAGATGAGGCACAGTTCACCTCTGCTTGCAGCTAGTAATGGCAGTCCTCCTTTGGTACTTCCAAAGCATGAAGGGGGGTATCAAAATGCACTTGCCACTCCAGCCCCATTGTATGAGCAGCAGCTGCTGGAGTCAGTAAATGACTATGACTCTCACTGGCTGGGCATGAGAAATGAAATTTTGGGAATAGGGTTAGATTTGCTGTTGGAGAATGAGCAAAATGTGGAGCAAGGTCAGACAAAAAGTTACCTTTCTGCTTTTGGTGGCCAGAATTCAGTCTGTCATTTGGGTCAGACATGAAACTGGCAGTGGGTCCACTTGCCTGGTGGAAAATGAATGTGATTTTTTTTTTTCTCAGTTGCCAGTGTTGTCTGAAGTGGCTAGAGGTTTTGCAGGTCTAGGTGCAGAGTGCTTGCTCTGAGTTTCGTGCCCTGTATGGAAGGGAACGAAAGATAAGCCATGTTAGGAAGGGCTACCTGCTGCATCTGAGCTGCCTCCCCAGCCCAAGCCATCCTGCACCAGCCCCTTGCAGCATTCCTGCATGGTTGTGGGCAGCCTAACATTAACCTGTGTGCATCGGCTGATCTGCACAAGTGTGCCAGCACTGGAGAGTGCTGTGTGTTCAGACTGTGCTGGGTTAATTCTGCCAGGAGGCTTAGCACTAGGGTGGTGTTTTTGTGGCATTACTCTACTGAGTTTTGTTTCTATTCCGGTCTTTATTCACTTATTTTAACTTAAGGAATCCTAGATGACAGACTTATTTATAGCTTTTAGTTGAGCAAGCATTAACACAAGAGGGGTACAAGCATGGGGAAAGCAGCCTTGGTGGTGGCAGGGGACATCTCACTGGGTGTGTTTGCATTTTAGGTATGTTCCTCATAAAGAACACTAATGGTCTTTTCCTGGGTACTTAATATATAGTGTTTTCATTTAAAAATGACCACAGTCTTTTAAAAGGCAATATTTTTGTGATTTTATTTTGTGTAATTTGTTTGCAAATTGTCTTTTTTTTTTTTAAATTGTGATTGTCTAGTTGCCAAATTAAGGTTTTTTACCTTCATGAAGTTGTGGAACTGCACTCAGAGGAGAGAGGAATGTGTTTCATCTTTGCATTTGCACATGGAGCCAATTTTTAGAATTCTCAAGATCCATGGTTATCCAGAAAACCACAGTAATCATGGAAATGTTCTTCATGTGTACCTCTGGAGAACTGCCATGGATGTGTGTTAAAGCAGTATTAGGCCTCAGATGCTTAAAACTCTACATGCAGATCTATTTTTGTGTTTTAAATGTGGCTCTGGAATAATTTTAAAGTATGCTCTGGATTGTAATAATTTGCTATTAACTCAATTATTTTGTTTCTAGAACAAGAGAAACAATGAAAATAAAACTTAATCACAGACCATTATGTTATTAATAAAATTGATATCCCTGAACAAAATGTCTATGGAGGTGTGTACACAAGAAATCCAGAAAATTTGTCCTGATTTTTGTCAGTAATTTTTATCTGTGGTTGTAACTTTTCTGCCTTAACCCAAAGAATTAGAACAAGCTCATGTATTACAGAAGAGCTGTATGGCTTCAGACAATAGCTGCAAGGCACTTTGAACACAAGTTGTATTTGAGAATGAAGGACAAAGACTGTATTTATGATTGTATATATGACTCTTTTAGTAAATTTTGGAAAAAAAACTCATTAAGACTTATTTATTTACACATACCCTCTCCCTCATAATACCTTCCTAATGAGAATGCTCATTCAACACGTAGGAGGTGCTTCCACAGCGATGGTGCAGTGGCCTCCCCTGGACCTGCATGCCAACAGCATCTCTGCTGTCATATGATAGGTGATGCTGGGGCAGGAACCAAATGTGCTCAGCAGTTGAGCCACTCTTCTACTGCCTGTAAAATACTCCTGTTTATAAAAGATGGGAGGAATTTACATGCTAAATATTGAAATGTGTTTTCTTCTACATAACTTGTCAAAGAGACAGCAAGGACCCAAATTCACCAGTGTCACTTTTAGTCAGGCTGGGCTGACACTGCAGGGTGGCCCGAGCTCCTCCTTATGTGGGAACCTGAAATCCCATTCCTTTCTTCACAGCAGCGGGGCTGGTGCCCCAGGCACGGCCCCTGCAAGTCCGGCTGGCAGCCTGGGCGGCAGGATGGGGCCGGCAGCACGGAGGGAGCAGCTCCCGGCCGGACACCTCGTTAGCAGCCCTGCGCCTCATGGCCGGCTCATGCCATCAGGAGAATCACCCGTGACAAGAGGGTTTTCCACTGAGCAGGGCATGCACCACCAGCGCACCTCGGGACTGGCCTTCAGGCGGGGCCCGGCCCGAGATAAAGCAATGGCTCACTTCTCGCCTGGTGCCGTGCCCCCTGCATGCCTGGTCATGTCCCTGTGGGTGCGGGGCTGGGTACCTGCCAAACGCCCCACCTCAGCTGTGTTAGCCACAGGAGGAGGGGACATAGTGTTCCCTGCACCAGGGAATGCTCGGGTTGGAAATCAGGAAGAGTGTCTTCAGGGAAAAGGTGACGAGACACGGGAACGGGCTGCCCGGGGGGCGGTGCAGCCGCCGTTCCCGAGGGCTCAGGGAGCGCGGCCCTGGGTGCCCGGGCGGGGCTCGGGCCCGGGACGGGCTCCGTGAGGCCGGGCTCCGCGCCGAGACCCGCTGCTTCCGTCATCCCTTCATTCCCTCACAATGCACTGCACGCAAAAGCCCTTCATAGCTTTTGCCCTCTGACTTGTTCATCCTCCCACAGTCCTTGGCATGGATTTATTTTTGTATTGTTCTCGCAGTAATCGCTGCAGCCGCCACTTCGTAGGGGGCTGCCCCGAGCCCGCGGCAGCTGAGGCTCCCTACGCCTCCTCCGCTCCGGGTGCTGTGGGCTGGCCGTGCCGGGCAGCTACCGCGGGCTTTCACCGAGCTTGCAGGAGAGTCATTTACTCCCGGCATAGAGGCCGGCTCCCGCTTCCCGTCCCGGTTCCCGTGCGGGCTGTGGGACACCGTGTGCGCCCGCAATAGCGCTCCGGCGCGCCCGGAACTCCGCGCGCAGCCGCTGTTTCCGGGAGGGAGGCCCCGCAACGGAGCGGTCGGTGCGGGCACACGTGGGCCGGGGGACAGCGCCGGGCCGGGGGGACAACACCGAACTGGGGGATAACACCGAACTGGGGGATAACACCGAGCCGGGGGGATAACACCGAACTGGGGGGGGGACAACACCGAACTGGGGGATAACACCGAGCCGGGGGGATAACACCGAGCCGGGGGGACAGCGCCGGAGCGGGCACGCACGGCCCAGGTGAGTGGTGGCTGCTCCCCGCTCTCGGCCGCTCCGCCGGGGCGCTGCCGGCCTGGCCGGGGCCCGCGGCCCTGCCCCGGGAGTGCGGGGCCCGGGCAGGCCGTGCGTGGGCCCCGGGAGTCGGGTGTGTCGGTGCTTGCACGGTGTGCTCCGGCTGGTGCGCTGCGCACACGTGCTCACTGTGCTCTCTGTGCTCTCTGCCGTGCCAGCTGCTCACACGGAGGAGGAACTCTGCATCCTGCCGGTTGTAAACAGCTGTTGAACGAGGGAGATGGAGGAAAAAGAGAAGAAGAAGCATCGTGCAAAGCACAGCGGGCCAAAGGCAGAGAAGAAAAGGAAACGTTATCTCAATGACCTGGGGATAGGCGATGAGGAGAACGCACGGAAGAGAAACCCCAAAGCGTTCACAGTGCAGTCCGCTGTGCGGATGGCCAGGACTTTCCACCGGTGAGCGGTGGGGAGCGGCTCCAGAGGCGGCTGGAGCGGTGGGAGTTGCCTGGGCTCTCTTTGTTACTTTGTGTAGACTACACAGAGTGTGATTTCCGCTGGGGTGTCTGCCCAGGTTATCGCTCACCCAGTCCCGCTGTGGTTTGTGTGTGTGTCAGGAGTGGGGTGCTCTGTGCCTCTGTTGCGTTGTGCACTGTGTTAATCGACAGGAAAGCAGTACAGCTCCTCAGGCTCAGTGGGAGTTTAAGGAGCTGTACCTGGTGTCTCTGCTTGTGCTCCATTTCGTGTTCAAGCCTTTGCAAACACTGAAGTCTTTCAAACAGTAAATGCCACTCTCCATGACATTCCTGTATTTTTTTATTTATTACAAATTTCTCCTCAGGACTCAGGATTTGAAGACTAAAAAGCATCACATTCCCGTGGTTGACCGGACTCCTCTGGAGCCCCCTCCCGTGGTGGTGGTTGTGGTTGGCCCTCCCAAGGTTGGGAAGAGCACTGTAATAAAGTGTCTCATTAAGAACTTCACAAGGCAAAAGCTGGTTGAAATCCGGGGTCCTGTTACAATCGTTTCAGGTGAGAACAAAGATAAGAGAAATGGAAATGCTTCTTTTGTGCTCCTTGCTTGTCTTGCTTTGAGAGCTGGGATGTGTTCATGTTCTCATGATTTCTGGTCATTTTGAAGATATCATTTGGATGTGTGATCTGGCATATGTACAGTAAAAGAAGATCTGATAATTTTAAGCTAAAAAAATATATATTAGTACAGTTATAAGCAGGTAAAAATAGACACTTCTGCAGTGATGCATTTTGCATGATTTACATGCTAGACAAGAATCTGAGTCCCAGATACCCTGGAGGAACTCCAGGAATGGGACCGGAAAAGAAAACTGTTTGCTCCCTGAATTGGTTTTCTCCCTCTGTTGCAGTTCTTGATGTTTAATTCTGTTTTCAGGTAAAAAACGCCGGCTGACCATTATTGAATGTGGATGTGACATTAACACAATGATTGACCTGGCCAAGGTTGCTGATTTGGTAAGTTAACATGGAATGTGAGTTCTACTATAATTTATGTTGAAAACACTACTTTTGATTGGACTGCACCAATGTCTGGTTTTTCTACACATTTTTTGCTATCAAAGGCAAAACTGTCTTTGGTTTCAAAGAGAACAAGACCTGAGCTCTTTGACAGACCTTCTGGAACAACCCCAGGACTTTCCTCATCCTGAGTGTGGGGGAAAGTAAAGTGTGTGTGTGTGATGGGGAGGATGTGAAAGAAGGGAAGTGCTGCTGGGCTTCATGCAACTGGTAAACTTCTAGTGGGAGATCTTACCACAGGCCGAAGTGACACACTGGCTTCTCATTAATTTTACATGGTTAAACCATATAAAATCTGAAAATGAGTTTTAGTCAAGAAGTTTTCAACTAATGTTCAAAGTGGAAGTATGTATTAGTGTACTGGTTGGGGTTTTTTGTGCACCCTGAGGACTGTATCTGTAACCATCTGTTTTGTAGTAATACAGCTGATTTCAGTGGAGTGTGATCACTGTTGTAATGTACTTGCAACTTTTGGATCAAGAGATTACACCAACTGATCCTGGGGATCCAGGGCCTGATCCTTTGTTTAGAATTTTACTTTACATGTGGATAATATTCACAGCTGATTAAGTATTGGGATCCTTGTCTAAGTATTAACTATATAAATATCTAAATACATGTATTCACTGATCTAGATATTCTTCTACTTTTATGTTTTCTACTGAGATGTACCAAACAGTACAAATAGTTCTGCTGGTATATTTGGTGGATGTTTCAGATTCTGTGTGCACATGGTGCTGAGAATCTGTTTGGATTTGTTGTTAGGGGGTTGAGATTACATCAGTGCTTGAAGATCTGTCATCAGTTCCTGTATGCTTTAAGTTCTTTGTTGTTAAAACTCTAAACCAACTTTGCTTCCATTTTCATGTGACTGTTGGCTGCTGTGTCAGAGCATTTTAGTGATGTGTAACAGCAATTGCAACAAGGGAAAAAGGTTGGCTTCATTTTACAGAAGGACTTGGCCTTAGCAGCATTACTGTGTCCAAGACACAGATATAAGTAAAAATTTTATTAATTTAATTTAATAAATTTTATTAATTTTCTAAGATATTCCTGAAAATCTTGGAAGATAATCAATTTTACATGTTTTAAATTCACCAGGTAAACACTTGTTCAGATCTTATAATAATACTGAATGTTACTGCATTCCTAGAGCATCTAGAAT